AAAGGTTACAAACACAAACTGTATAGAGTTTTAAATATTTTTTCCATCTTTTATGGATACTCCATCTTGAAGTAGCCAAGACATGATCTTCAGCAGCAGTGAGAAGTCATAGTTACGAACTTCCTCTGAGGCACGGACCAAACTTGATGAGGAATCTTTTGTTCCCCTAGTGCACTATCATGGGTCCACAATTTTGCCTAGATAATTGGGAGGTGTCAGGCACAGGCAAGCCAAACACCAGCAGATATCCCCAGCTCTGAGATACTGTGGAGACTGGCAGCCAGCAATACGGGTAGAAATGCACGGGTCATAGCATGGCTTCAGCCTGCGTGGACCTGTTGTGTCCTTACAATGTAGAAACAACAGCTGAGAAGATGGTGCTGCCCTCTCCCTGGAACAAGGAACACCCGAGCTGTGTGGAAAGTGCCAAACAGCCTGGACTAAAGGAGGATTTTGACAGAGGATGCAGAGCTCTCTGTTTAAAGAGGAGCACTTATTCTTTCTCTTCCCTGAATGCTTAAACTTCTAAATATTATACTAAGGAGGTAAGAAAAGCTCTTCAAATAAACATCACAGAAAGAAATTTCCAAACCTGACATAGCAGACTGGTCAGAAGAGCCATATGCCAAGTGGCTAATACTATACTGAAATCCCAAGTGTGTACAAACTATAAAATATATTAATCCCTTGATATTTTTCTCTTGTCTCTTATTATGAGACAAAAGAGTTGTTTGACGAGACCTTTCAGATGTTGGAAATAAGAAAATTAATATGAAATACTGGGTATTCTAAGTATTAAAATAACAGTAAGTGTAGTCATAATGTCTTGTTATAGTTACAAAATCTGGAGCTTAGAATGAAGAAGTGGAAAGTGTTACTATTCCATTTGAGCTTAGAATTCATTTTAGTTGTTTTGCAGTATCTGCAAACATAATTAGAAACACGTGTTAGCTACATCATTTCTCCAAAATGCAGAGATCCTAGGCACTGTTGAAATTAATTCTTTTCTGGGAAGCCTCAAGTGTTTCACTTTCATAATGATTATGAGTAATTGATGTTAATCAGTAATTTCTTGGTGGTGACTATATTTATCTTCCATGCTTATTTTGAGTGTTTTTTATCAAAGAGTGTGAGTGACCGACATTCAGATTGCATCATCTATTTAAGTTTAAAATTTGGCTGAGTTTTATTCATTTCTGTAGAGTCCCAAAAGAATTTTTAAAAGCCTTGAAATTCAAAACGGGAAATGTTCCTAGAGTTCTTATTTGTATCACATTTGAGTTACATAAAACTTGTTTTGAAATTTCAGTATAGTTCCTTGGTGTATTACTTTGAGTTGACTGTCAGGAAGGACAGAATATACTGTTGAAGTAGAGAATGCCCAATGCACATAGAGTGGAAGTGAGGAGGCATTGATGTAGTTGGCACCATATTTCACTGGTTTTGCTCACATGGAAGAGTATCTGGTTTATCAGGTCAGCCCTGTCCCTTCTGTGGCTTTAATTCCCATTTGCATTCTGACATCTTCTCTTTGTTACCAACATCTCATATATCACACATCTCTGTATCCAGACTTGGAGAAACTCCTGTGGTCCTACATCCTGAAGTCAAGCTGGAAGGATATACAAAAGGACCTCCAGATAGTGTGTAACCTCACATAGTGCTCATTTTTTCTTGGAATTTTCTTCAGGATGATTTGTGGAGAGCTCTGATGGGGAATTGTTGGTAGCTTGCAATTATGAACTTATTACTAGTGTGGGGATTGAGAGAAGTTATTCAGGTGCTTGGAACAACTATTTGAGTTGTTCAGTATTCAACAACTTTAAAGAGTTTATGTTTTTTTCATGGATCCCTATATTTAAGATTCCTGTCCAGAGCCAAAAAATCCATGTAGAGCTAGAAAAATATGAAGGAGATGTCCTTCCCTTTCACATTTTCAGCACAATTTTCCTCCACATTTTCTATCACAGAACAGGATTATCCAGCACTTTACTTCATGAGATTGTTCATGGATTGAAGGAAACAAATTTGCTTTGGAATTTGGGTTTGGGTTTGGTTTGTGTTTGTTTTGTTATGTTTTGTTTTTCTGGTAGAAAAGCCAGACTTCAAATAGTGAAGGACATGAAAAAATGTAGCAAAGTTAAAAAGTTACACTCATGTTAATCAGTTAAAGATGAGCGTAAAGTAAAAGAAAGGGTAATTTAATAGGGTAAAATAAACATAAGAGAAATATTAAATTAAAAGGAAAAGGTGCAAGTAAACTCACTAATAAGATACATACTTGCATATTTTCAGTGTAATTACATTTATGGGAGTATGGGAAGAAGGACAGCAGAAAGTTGCCAGGTAACTAACCAATAACAGCCAAATCTTCATCCAACTTTCCAGCTTCTTAGATAAGGAAAATGTATTTTAGTTTACCCAGATATCTATCAACACTGAGTGTGTTTAAAAATGTATGAGGTCCTAGTTCATTGCATAATGAGAAAGTAAAGCTGAGAAAAGCAAAATACAGTAAGTATAACTGAGATGGAAAGGGACTGGAAGACTCAACAAGTTAGGAATATTTATCTGACTATATTCCAGACCTGATCTGAGATCACCAGTATAACAAAATGATCTCAGTTCTTTCCAGGGCATTATGGTTAACACAGAACTGAAAAAAAAGTACATGCTTGGTTGCCATTCACAAGCTCTTTTTTTACTACTCCATCTTCTCACTCATTCTTTTACTTTTCAGTGTAGCAACATGATTAGCTACACTGAGGAGAACAACATTTTATTTAATCTGGCAATGTGAGAGCTTCCAAGCAATAAAATGAACAGTGCATACATACTGTTGGCTATTTTGTCATTAGTGTGGAAAAGGCAGCCTTGAAAAAAGTATATATCTGTGTATCAGGGCCATCATCTTTTATCTGGTTTTATCATCACAATGAATACAGCTTTTTTATAGTAGGCTCATATTTTTTCTTCCATCTTCCACAAACTGGTTATTTCTTCCCCTCAGACAGTTGCCTCTTTTCCTTCTGCCCTCCCAGGGATCTTGGTGTGCCATCCTTGCAGTCTGTTCTGTGCAGTCCTCAATGTTACAGGTCATCACATTGTGTAGGACCAACCTTATTGGAATAGAGCTCTTAGCTCTGAACTGAACTGAGGAATTAAGGGTAAAAGCTGTAAAAATTGATGGACAGAAGGAAGACAGGGCCTGTTATTCCTGTAGAAACGTTGTCAAACATGGCACAGATCTGAAGTGAGAACCTAAGCAGTAAGAAAAACTGTAAGTCACAGGTACAGATCAGAGCAGTATGGAGAGAGGACATTAGTGAGGTGCCACCCAAATAGGACAGCTATTTCTACATAGGAGGCTAAGAAATAAATGAGTTGAGAGATGGAAATATTTTCTTTCTCACAGAAGAGCTGGTTAGTATTGTGAACCCAAGTGAACAGTATCTTTGGGTCACAGAGAATGCCAAAATAAATATCTGAGAGCTGCTTATCTTCAATCTCATGCAAACAAATGAAAAGCAGACCTTCTTTCCTTTTCTCAGGGTCTCAGGGAGCAAAGATTGTCTTTGCTACCATTAAATATTTTGGAACAAATTTTCAAAAATACATAAACAGTTAACAAGAAAATATATACTTCCTTCAGCATATTAACTTGTATTCTGCTTCTTGACCATAGGAATGGTTTTAGATGTTTTTTTCTAAATGTTCTAAAGGTTGAATTATGACTTCTGGGATTTTTCTGGTGCTGTAGTAATTTCATTTCTTATTTCAGGAGATCTGCACAATCACATTTCTTGGCAGGTTCCCATAGAATTTGCAGATTTAACTTGCTGCCCCACAAGGGTAACCATGGACTTGTATAGAGGTGGATCACCTTATATTTTTTAATTAGATTTAACCTGGTTCTCCTTACTTGTGATCAAAGGAGAGGAGGAAAGGTTTTCTAAAGAAATATCACACAGGAATAGTGTGGCCATCAGGATCAGGGAAGTGGTTGTCCCCCTCTACTCAGCACTGGTGAGGCTGCAGCTTCAATTCTGTGTTCAGTTTTGGGCCCGTCACTACATGAAGGACGCTGAAATGTGTCCAGAGAAGGAAAATGGAGCTGGTGAAGGGTCTGGAGCACAAGTCTGATGAGGAGCAGCTGAGGGAGCTGAGGGTGTTTAGCCTGGAGAAGAGGAGGCTCAGGGGAGAACTCATTGTTCTCTACAACTGTATGAGAGGAAATTGTAGCCAAGTGGAGGTCGGTGTCTTCTCCCAGGTAACAAGTGACAGGGCAAAATTAAACAGCCTCAGGTTGCACCAGGAGTGGTTTAGACTGGATGTTAGGAAAACATTGTTCATTGAAGGGATGGTCAAGCTTTGGAACAGGCTGGTCAAGTAAGTGGTTGAATCACCATCCCTGGAGGTACTTGAGATAACGTGTTTGATCTTGGTATTTGCTGAAGACATGCACAGGCATGTAAGGTGATGTGTTCTGTTTCGTGGGGGTGATCCAGCTTGAACACAGCTCCTCTTTTTTTGCAACCTTACTGCCTGTGGAGACACTTTGAGCCTCAGTTTAGTCTGTACAGGCCAGCAGCTTTATACCAAAACTGGACCAGTTAAGCAATGTGGAAAATAGGTGACTTGGAGGCTGAGTTCAAATTCAAAACAGAATTATCATGAAATATTAATACAGACAGAAAAATGGAGAAGAAATGGTGATGCAGGTAGCACTGCAATTGTAACAGATACATTCCTTATATTTATGCTTTGAATTGTTGTGTAAATAAGCATTTCTTTTCTCTGTGTATTTGATTTGGTTGTGTATTTAATTTGTTTCAAATCTTCGTTCGCGAAGCCTAGCCATGATGATGATGTATTTAATTTGTTATGTTACCAAAGACTGTCTAAACTGAAAGGCTGCCAATTACAGTTATGAAAAGTTGCAGCAGAATGAAAATATTAGTGCTTAAGAGATTTCATAACTGTCTGTTTCCCTTCCATAGCTATTTTCTGCTGGAAAAATCACAGACACCAAAGCAGCTGAGCTGAAGGAACAGTATACCCTGCTGCATAAGACTGTGATAAGGTATAATATTCTATTTTTAGCTTTTTAGTAGCCAAAGCATTAGATATTTAAAGTAATTTTCTACTCTTGCTGAAGCCTAGTTATCATTTAAGACTTTCTCTTGGTGATAGTTCATAAAGGAAGCAAGAACACAAGTTTGTAAACCAACATGATTTAATAGGAACTTTCAAGGTTGTTAGGGATACCTAAATACCTGTTTGAACAACATCTTTATTACTAATATAAACATAATAATATTGGGAATGGACAGACACACAGACTGCAACAGACAATATAGAAGTTGAAAATAAATACATATTTGAAGATCATGAAGCCAGAATTGCAACATATGAAAAGAGCTGACATCATAGAGAGCAACTGAAGAAGGTAGAGGCTCGTTTCTAAGAAAGAAAGTGAGACTTTGTCACTTCTAAGTAGGTGTGAGTTTTACACTCTGAGAATATTGTCAGTCACATTAAACAGGGCTGCTAATTTAGATTAGAACCTTAAGCTTCACGCTATAAATGGAATTTGGAAATTAGATGTAGCAGTTGTGAGCCTGCCCTGCACCAGTACTTGCTGGAGGAGAGAGGAGAGATCATGAAGAGAGCCTGATGCCAGGCTTGGGCAGGGCATGTGGGAGTGGAAGGAGAGAGGGAGGGACAAGGTGGGACACAATACTGCAGTTGTACCAGGTGAACAGTGTGTCACAGGACAGAGCAGTCCTGTTGCAAATATTGCAATACTACATTAGTATTTATGAGTAATAATCTTGATATTACAGCATGTCTGTGATTATAAGTTAAACCAGTGTCATGACACTTCTGTTACGTTTCTGTACTACATACCATAATGTCCACTATATTAACAATATTTTATCCCAATTTCACTGACAGCCTACATCAAAACCTTTATAGCAATTCTGTCATTAAAGCTAATGCTTAATTTAAGGAATCTAATACTAATTGAAGTCGTATCTGCTTATTTGGGTTCAGCTGGGATTTGCTGGGCCTCCTGGTAATCTGAGTAGTGACAAGTGCTAAGTAATGTAAAATAATTTGAAAAGGAGTTCCCAAAATCCTGAAATAGCAGTTTTTCCTGAGCTTACCAAGTCTTCTAGTTTCATCTTAATAAAATGGGGAGTTAGAATATAGCTCTGACTCTGTGAAAAGTCATCTGACTTTATTTCAGATTAATGTATAGCAAATTTTTCTAGGATTTAGTGCTCCTAAAACAGATTGTCTTCTTAGAAAATGCAAGAAGGCTTTTCTTAATGCTCAGAACTAAACCTTTATGTGGGGTTTGGATTAATTGGTTGAAAAGGTTTCTACCTCAATGGTGTTCACTGAGCTGAAGTAGAAATCCAGTAGCTGCTAAACTTGATTGAACTTGATTGACTTTTAGCTAGTGGTAGTTTGAAAACAGTCTTTGATTGGAAAAATACAAGCATATTACTACATATTTTATGTATTTATATAGTATTCTTTTATACAGAACATTCATTTGTGTAAAGATGATCCCTGTGTGTAGCAAGTAGAATACGGCCTGAGTGTAAACAGGACTCAGCTGTCTTTTCTGTCACACTTAAAACTACCCTTAACAGCATGCACCAAAAGCATGAAAATGTTAGATGGGAGATTACATCTCTCATTCTTTCCATCATTCTCACAGGAGTATGAAATCACCATGGTTCTGTAAGAAAGAGGATTGGAGAGAATCATGTCACACTCTTTACTGAGATGCAGTTGTGTGTCAAAGCAAAACACCAATGTGTGAACAGGCACTAGTTCCCACACATGAATTTCTCCTACTACTTCCTTTTGAAAGTGAAATCAGTTAGCAAAAAGGGATCATGATCTCCAGTATAATTTAAGGACTTTTCAGGCATCTAAAGTGGGATTCACTTGTCCATATGTTAACATCAGTATACTCTGAATTTCTAGTTCTTCACCCTTACCTGTGCAGTACAGTTCTGTGGATCAAGAGCTTATTTGCCCATGTGTCTTAGTTCTGTTACAATGTCACATTAAAACAAAGGACCGAGGATGAGGTCTTCAGGCTGTGTGTGTTCTTCTTCCCTTTAGTAGCCTTCAGAAATCTCAAGCAGCACAGTTCCCTGTGACAGCTGTGCCGAACTATTGCAACTGATGTCTCTGATGTACAGTACAAATTTGTGTAGCACAATGAATACAACAAGTCTGTATGCAGGTAGTCTCCAGGGCTGTTGCTGGAGTACACAGTGTATAGTTTTGTGGTTTTTCAGTGGTAAATAGTCTTTTATTTCTTACTTTCAGTTTTGCACAATTCAGCATTCTGAAAAGCTGAGAGATGTCACCTAGCAGATAGAGTCTTTGGTACATTTCTTCAAAGTGTTATGTCCTTTGGAATTTATGTTTGCTGGGAACAGGTTGTCATCCCATTGTGGTGCTGTCTCATCCATTCCCTTTGCAGTAAGGTTGCACCTAAAGGTGAAGTACCTGAGCTCATATTAAGCCCCTGAAAACCCACTTAGTCATTCAGTTATGTAACCCAGTTGTACATCTTTATTTTGATTATCTGAGTTTAGGAACTTGATATGAATATTCTGATAACCCAAGCTATAAGATACCCGGGTAATGATGAAAACTCATTGGCAGATTGGGAATGTTATTTTCTTAAGCCTCTGCTAAAATATTAATCAATTCAAAAATTCAAAATCTGCCAGATCAGACTGCACAAACCTACTTTTGAACTCATGTGATTCTAGATGTGTACATCATGTAGATGCCCAGTTATTTCTTCATTGTCTTCAGTTACATTTAAATCAGCACATGAAAAATGCTGTTGGCATCTGTAGAGAGCAAGAGCTAGATTCAACACTCAGTTCTTGTTCTTTTTTTCTCTTTTTATTATCTTTTAAAAAATCAGTACTAAGAATTTTGGTTTTTTAGAATCACTTATGTGTTTATATAACTGTATGTAAATTGTATGCATTATGTAAGAATTGTGTTTGAAATTAATGTGTATTATTACAACCAATTATATTTTCTCCTACAACTGCAAACATTCTGCTGGACTTCAAGAAGATCTAAATATTATGTAGAATCCAGTGACAGTAAGTCAATTTACTTTTCCCTTAATATGTGTGTGTAAATACATCACACGTGAAGTTATTTGTTCATGATGAAGACACGCTTGGTTTTCTGTTGAAGTCTGTGGTTTTCTTATTTTCTAGTTTAGAAAAAGGAAGTGGTTATCTAAGAAGAAATGTTACACAAACCAAAACTTTTTCTGCCATATTATTCAGCTATGTTTGTGCAGTATTGACAGTTGTATATTTTGTATTTTTGTAGTTACCATCTCAACTCTATTCTTCAGTGTGTTATGTAATTTTTTGTGCCTAAGCCATAAAAGTCAAATTCGAGCCAAAATTTATATATGGATTTTCTTAATATGGGAAATTTGAAATTCCCTTGTTTTGTAAAATATATTTAATTGCACTATATTTTTAATTAGTAAAAGTTAAGTGATGGAGTTCTTTATTCCTCTACATAATTTGTGACTAATTTAAGTATACCATTATCTAAAAAGTCACACTGTAGTAATACTGAGAGGGCATACACAACTATTTCTATAGCATGAAGCATAGGTTTATGTGTGGTGCATTGTATATGAATTTTCATATTGTAGTTCCCTCTAAGACTTTTCCATGATAATCAATGTATTTTACTAACAGCCTTTAAGATGTTATTCAGCTATCACCACACAGATTCCTAAGGATCTATGAATCCCAGTCTCCTGACACTGACAGAATATTACAGTTTGTTGTTTCTGGGAGATTTTGGTGATATGAGTCAGATCAGATAATTGTTCACGTCTACAGGCCTTATAATGAGCTTCCACAGATGTCCACAAATGTATTTTCAGCTTGTGTATCATTAAATGAGTTACTTCAGATCCTGGTAGCATTGCAGCAGTAGCAAGATGCAACTCATCCCTGGGCAGGTGTCTTGGTGTTTATGTGGAACTTAGAGTTGTGGTATAGCCCAGACTGGGCCTTGTCCTGATGAATACTTCCCTATTATAGGTCCCCACACTGAATTATATGTAGCCTTTGGCACTTCTTCGGATAAAATGGGTTCCTTGTGTCTAGGGACATTCCTTGTGTCATTTGTGTCTAGGAAGTGCCAGACAAATAAATTAGACTAACTAATGGTCTTTACCTGGTTAGAATTAAATGAGATGAATCTCAATCCAACTCCAGGTATGCAGAAAAAAAACCTGGGACCAGATTCCACTGCTCTTATGGCATCTTAGGCTGCTTCAGGTTTGAACAGACCTCAGAAGGTCCAACCTGCTGTCCAACACAGGCTGAACTAGGAGATCACACCAGATTATTCAGGACTTAATCCCATCTCATCTTGAAAACCTTGAATTAACTACTATAGGAAGGTAAAAAAGTATGAATACAAAGATGATGCTTCTTATAGCCTAGTTCTAAATTTGTCTATTTAATGCAGTTTACAGGAATCTGAGACCCAGCTGTTGCAGGAAGCCAAACGTCTTAGTGCAGAGCTGGAACAGCAAGAACTGGAAAAAGCAGAACAAGTCCCCGAAGAATCTTCCAGTGAAGCTTCCCAAATAAGGCAACAACTTCTTAGTAGCCAAAGTGAATACAATGCTATTAAAGGAAGAGAGCATGAAAATCAGTTGAAGATAGAATGGTAGGTAATGGTGGTCAAATGCTGCCAATTTTATCATAGCTAATCTAGGATCTAGAAAGACAATAACATAGAATACAATTCAATCTCGTTTCCATCCTACATGGACACACTTCTTGATGGCTGTTTTTGAACAAATTGCCATGAACTTTTCCTATTAACAACAGCAACATTTCAGTGATGAATAAATTTACCCTGGTGCAAGATTTGTAGATAGTTTTAAATTTAGAACATGGTATGGTGTCCTTTGAAATGCTGTTTAAAATTTGCTACATAGCATGATTAATATTTGGGTAGGCATATTAACATGAACAGTTTTAGTCTAGGACAACTTTAATACAAACTTTTCAAGTGTCTCAGAGACCTGTTGGCTGGGATTTTATGAAAACAATGTAATAAATAGACCCAATGCTATTTTTAACATCAGGAGGACAGTGTATTCAAGATTTTTTCTTCAGGTACTTAAAGAAGGAGAAGTTCATGTATATTCTTACACTAGAAAAATAATAAATTTTCCCTGAAAAGAATGAAATCTTGAAATTTTTATATAAGGGAAAAAACCCTAATAATAAGCTTAGTACTGTATATATTTCAATTATCTGCATATTTTATGGTAAAATTACAAATGTACTATTGTATTTGTAAAAATATGTACCTAGGCAGGTGAATTCAGATTTTTATTTTGTGGGGTGCTTGCTATTTTTACCCATCGTCAATCCAGCTATAGTGTAGTTGGTGTGTATATAAATACAAGTAGGTAATGTCAGCATCTCAGCAGTTAAAACTGTTTTTCTGCAAGGAGAGCAGGAACACTGTACACACGGCATGGAGCAGATTTTTCTGGCAGTTCTTTCTGGATCTGGGGGGTTTTTTAGAGCCAAATGTTTGCTCTAAGAGAGAAAGAAATGAGAATGAAGCAAATTGGAAGTGGGAGAAATAAAGAAACATGGAAAGCATCTGGAAAAAATTACTTGCTATGAGATAACTAAGAAACATGAAGTTTCCTGAAATAATTATTAAATACAGTTTTTTGCAATTTTCAAGCAGTCCAGAAATGAGCTCTTTAAAAATACCATGCTTTTTACCCATTTGTCCTCATGAATGTTTTCCACTGATTTTGCATCACTTTTCCAAAAAATTACAGGGATTTACATGTATAGGGGATATGTTTCCATTCTCTATTTTCTACCTCTAGTCAAAAGTAGAATTCTGTTCTATATAAAATGCAGTTTAGGTATTATTTCATTTATCCTTGCACATTTACTGCATTAATTTTTATATATGAACTGAATATCCTATCTTGCAGATTAAAAATACACTTTTTGGGTCAGTCATACTGTGAAAAATGTTCTTTCACTGTAATAAGAAACTTCCGCCTTATGCATTGCCCGGGATCAAACCCAGCTGTAGAGTCCAACCAGAGCTCCACGAGGAGCATTATCTAACAGAGACCACAAGTGCAGCCATTTGTGATGTGGGGATTTCATGAGCCAAATACAGCCCTCTGTATTTGGGAATCCTCAGCTGACCCCTCTTCCTCTGAACTTCTCCTGTGTCCTCCCCTGCAAACCTCTGACATTGCAACACCCGAGCAATGAATTCCACAGATTAACTACAGAAAAACTGCCACCTCCTTGTTGTTTTGTTTGTTTGTTTGGTTGGTTTTTTTAAACCTGTCTCCTACAACTTCATTTAGTGCTCTGTAGTTCTTGTGTTGGATGAGATGATGAACATCTCCTTATTTGGATCCTCTCCTCATTTTCACTGCTGCAGGATGGTTTGATAGATCTCTTTTGTACAACCCCCTTCAATTTGTCAGCTTTCCAAACTGAAGAGCTACAGGTTATTTAATTGTTCATTGTTTGGTATCTGTTCCATGCCTGATGGTAGCATAGGATCTTATGTGTGTTGTGGGTGTGGAGTGAGAAGGATGTGCCTTGGTTGTGTGTGGATTTGTTTATTGGGAGAGAAATTCCAGAAATATTCCAGGTATTACAGGGACTTTGATGTTGAAGTAGTGTAGAACTAGCAGGACTAGCAGAGTACATGTAGGGAACGTGTGAGTGAATGTAGTAGGGAAATGAGACATGGACTATGAAGAAAAACAGATACTGGGTGTGAATAAGTGTTTGTAAAGAAGGGATGGGTTAGGTGCCTGTGAAAGGCAGTGAAAATGAATGTCCAGAATAGAGTTGTAAGCAGCAGGTGATGTAATAACAACACTGATGTAAAATGAAGATCGATATGCCTGCTGGTTTTAAACAAAGAATAAAGCAACGTTTTCTGAAATGTATGTGTACATTGACAGTGTCAGAGAGGGGAAGCTGCATCAAAGGTATTAGAAGTTTAGCTGACTGCTTGGTTTCCTTCATTTCTCAGGATAAAAACTCATGGTCCAGCCTCTCTTGGCCATTGATCTCTCTGGAACACAGTTTTCCTTGTTGTCCAACTGTGTTAATACAGTCCCAGCTGTGCTTGGCACTTACAAGTAAACTTCTCTTTGGGAATTATGACTAATGGCTGTTTAGTCTGAAAACAAACATGTTTATTTACCTTCTTATGTATAGCAGGCAGAGAGCATGGAGGGGAAAAGTTTTTGAAGGGAATATTTGTGTCTCTTATCTACTTTATCCTTTTTCTAAAATGTCTACTCAGTAATACTGCTGAGCTGGAAGTGAGAGAGACTCTGCAGATCTGTTTTCCTGTTTCTGTGAGCCTTTCTTTCTCTGCAGCATCTCTTATCTCTGACACCTTTCTTTCCTGCCTCAATTCACTTTCTCTGATAGCTAAGGGTACTTAGCATCTTTTTTGTACTTGGATTCAAATCTGACAACAATGAAGTTTCTCTCTCGAGGAGTCATATGGGTATGCCCTGAGATTAGCAAAGTTGCTTTTTGTCTCAAGGTCCCTTAGTATTCTGCATTCCCTCAACTGTATTTCAATTCCTATTTGCTTACCTCTGTAAACAATTTTTTTTCCAGATCAGGTACCTTTTTGAAGAGCTGAAGGTGATATTTCATCTTCTGGTTTAATTCTTCATTGTTCCAATGAGTAGTCAACATTCCCAGAGTAAATTTAAATCGTTTTCAGCATGGTAGTTTCAGCAGTTCTTCAGGAATTCTGTGACTTTTTTTGTAGCTTGAATAGGTACATGAGGTATTCAGAAGAGTCTCTGACACACTTCAGCTGTCAGGGAGCTCAGCCTGAGGGTGACTGCATGGATGGGATGTGCTCCCACTGTAGGTGTGCACATCCCTTTCCAGCTTGTGGCCAGTTGTGCCAGATGGTTGTGCTGGGCTCATTGCTGTTGTGTGTGCCAGAGTGCACAGAGCAGGAGGAGAGCAAGGGTTGGAATGATTTTACTGAGTTTACAAAGCTTGGGCCACTATCCCAAAGTCAGAGCTGACTCCAGGAATATTTTCTCTCAAGAACTACCAGACACAGATAATAAAGTAAAAGTAAAAACAGTGATCCTCAGTTGGTTCTGATAAAATTATGTTCAGAACCATGACATCCCTTCATATAACTGATAAGAAGGCTCAGTAAATAAGAATATAGCCTGGTGTCATCATCAAGGATTTGTTCCAGCTTGAGGAGATGTTTCACTTTAATGTTTGTGTGAGGCTTGGAGTCCTGGTTTGTGAGACAAAATAAAGAAAAGCTGCTTTTCTTTATTAGAGGATGGTGTCAACAGTAGTTTATTATTGAGAAATAATAAATATTTAATCTGAATTAATCTGTCTTCTAAACAATACATTTAAAAATAAGCAATTGATTTGTACTAAAATTATCTATAACAAGAGTTAATGAGATTAAAGGTGCCTGATTCTTGAAAGCAGTTTTATTTTAAAACCTAGGTCCAACCTACAGCCCCCACAGACATTTGTGCAGGTAGCAAAATGTCTCTTCACTCAAGTACTCTCACACTCTGTGTGATTGCATGCAAGTCAGGATTGCAAAACCAAATTTGTCCTTGTAGAAGCATTGCAAATATGGAAAATTATTTCAATGCTTGTAAATATTTCAGTATTAGTCACTCTATAATTAAAAAGGGAAAAGTTAAGCTTTTGTCCATAGTTTTGCTAGTAAAGAATTACAAGCCATAAGTAAAATAAATGGAGTCACAGCTGAAGTTGTTATCAGCCAGTCTTGTGACTGCGTTCTCCAGTACCTACAAACTAATTACAGCTAAGAGCATTACAGGAATCTCATGCTGGCAGCTTGTCAGCTGTGATATCTTCTACTTGTGGTCACTAGATTTTAGTTGTGAGGTGCTGAGCACCTTCTATGGATTTCTCAGCAATCCCAGCTATAAGACAGAGTAGCTGAAGGAGTTCACTTTCTTGCATGATGGGACTAATAATGATAACAACGTGATAGCTATTTTGTGAGATGAGTAACTGAAAGGGACCTCTGTTGTCAACCACCACCACATTTCTTAATCTCTTTGTCTTAATTTCTTTATTTCTGTGTCAGTTTGCAGCTGTAAACATCTCTCAGGGAAATGTCTGGAATGTATTTTTATTAATGGCCCAAATTTCGACTGCTTTTTTTTTACCTCATTACATCTGCATCCCTGGCAGCTTTTCATGTACAGTATTGCTATTCAGCTTCGTGAAAATAAGAAAAGCGGTGCTAGGAACATTTGCACATATTAATGTTTAAAACCTTAAGAGTTTTACCTTCTTTTCATTCCATGTGTTGTTATAGGTATAATATTGACAATAATAAAAACCACGTGATGTTGAAAAATGCAGTCATCAAAGAAGGGCTATAAAACAATGGGGATTATAAATGCCTAATACCGGTTGCAGCTGTTTTGTTTGTTGTTGTGATTAATGTCTAAGTAAGACACTCATGAGATTGATATCCATACATCACAGATTACAAGATTCAAATGCTAAATGCAGACCAGAATTTCTCTGCTTTCCTTAGATTAAGCCTCTGCGTCCCCCTATCAAAGACTGAATTTAGAATCTTTGAAGAGTCTTATTTGATTTCTTAATCTGAGTTAATCATCCTGGTTTAGAGTCCACAGAGAGAAATATTTTATGTTAAACTGGTAGTTTAAAGTATGAGATATGTAGTTTATGTCATACTAAAATAGACACCTGGGATGTCAGATGCCCCACCCTTTGGAGGTTCCTGTTTTTATCCCTGACAGTAGGGAAGCCTGGCAATGTTAACACTGGGCTGCCAGTCTGACTTCTGTATATGGATAACTGGAACAAACTGATTGCTCAAAAGTGAGAGATTTAACTTCTTTCTTTTTACCCCCTTTTTTCCCACCTTCACTGTACAAGTAGTTGGTCTGCCTGCTCCTTAGGTAACTTGCTGCTTCAAGTTCAGTGTTGCCTTTGTTTATGTCACAGAAAATGAGGTGTTCAAATCATTTTATTTTTGCTGGGTGGAAAAGTCTTTGTTGTGAAACTGGAATGGTTCCACAGGAATCTGTCCTCATGAGTGAGGAATGTGACAAAATGAAAACAGTGTCAACTTTGCTCTCCCTCCTGATTTTTGGTATTGCTCTTTTGATCGTCTAGCGTGATATTAAAGAGGGCACAGCACGGACTGACGACAAGCAATGCAGTAGTGCTTTAATCATTTTGCACAGGACTTATTTAATAATATTTTGTGGCAGTCAAACAGTTATAGGTATTAGTGCAAAGACATTCATTATCCTTAGTGTGATTATGCTAGTCCCAACTAGGAGCTCAACTAGGAGTGCTGCCAAAATGTGTTTGGAATATGATTTTGGAATAGAACTTTTTAAAATTAATTTTATCAGTTTTGGGACATGATTGATTGAAATTTGACTTTTTTTTTTTAAAGATTTTGTTTTGCAACCTCATTCCGTCAGTGGGTGTTCAAATACTGGCATTCAAATTAGTTTTTAGACTTACCAGTCACTGTGGAGGCACCTTGTACTCTGCCCATGCAGATATGGATACATTCTGTAAATCAACAACATCTACTCTGGGTCTTTATCTTCTCTTTGCTCTTCATCTGAGCCAGAGCTCCTTATTCATATTGTTTTGTTTTGTTTGAATTGCAACACCACCAACCCAGTTTCCTTTTTTTCACTGTTTTTTTTACCATAACTGAAAATATGTTGCCTGACGCTTCCAGGTATAAGTTTCACTCCTTTTGTTGAAGGACAGAAAAGTAAGAAAGAGTTTAATGAGAGGGTGTGGAATTGGGGGGGAGGAAAGGGGGGAAGAACCTTGAATCATCACTGATAAAGAGTTTAACATAAGATCCTAGGGATGGTCCTCCACAAGGTTGGCTGCTTGGAGATTAATCTCTCTTCCCACAACCACACACCTTCTGAAACCTGAACTGCCAACATGATGCAAAGTCTTACACTGGTTTCAGAAAAAGAAAAAAAAAAGAAATAGCAATCAGCTGTTTCTCTTCTGTATCAACCACATTCAGAAGTAACTGTAATAGCTGCTTTGGGTAGGTGGGGCTGCCCCAGCATTCCCTTGTCATAGTTTCTAGCTCCAAGTTACACAAACATTCCAATGAAGCTTGTCCCCTTCTCTTAAGGCTCCCCTAATTTAAAGAGTTATTTATTATTATTCTAACTGACTGCCCTGATTCTCAGTGAAACCTGAGCAGCACATCCTCCCACTGGAGTTGCAAACACATTTAAGCACAGAAGTTGATTCTTTGCTATACCTGGGACAGAGTATTTGGTTGTGCCTCCAATTCCTCAGCTGCAATCTTTGCTCATTTACAGTCTGAGACTCAGAAATGTCATTGTACGTAGTAATTACTCTGCAACAAACAAACTGCCTTTTGTTGCCAATCAATAGCACAATCACTCAGTTAAGTTCAGTTTGGTTGTGATGGCATGCAGATTGCTGTAGCCAATTTACCTCCTATAGGTGCAGAATTGTTCCTACATGCACTGGGGATGTTTAGACACACCTTCCATGGGGATAATTTTTTGTGTTTGGCAGTATTTACCTACTTGCCACCAAGAAGCTCCCTATGTAAATCCAACAATCTCGTTGGTTGAGCTCCCCTTTCGTAGTCACTCCTTCATCTTTCTTAGGGCAGCATTACTAAAAATACACCCAGAAGATCTAAGAGCTTTCCTATTTCTTCCTTTCCTCTTTCTTCACCTATTCGGCATCTGTCTCTATCGTTGCCTGAAATTAAATTGCAGTTTAGTTTTGGATGCAGGTTAAGTTCTCCATGGTTATTCAATTTAGTTTTCTCCCACACCCCTTTGACTTAGTCTATAACCCCTACCACTTTTCAGGAACTTTTTTTCACAGGATCCTGTTCAGATTGGAGGAGCTTCACTTAGAGTTGTTTGCAGAGTGAATGTGTCTGTGAGCAATCATTCCTAGGAAAAAGAAAATTTCTCACTAGCAATTGTACTTTCTTGTGACTTTCTTTTATGTCTTTATGACTATTTAGGACCCACTCCTCTTTCCTTTTGCCTTATTTCCATGTTAAAATTTGGTTTTCTGAGGTTGGGAGAAACTGTGGGTGTAGGGTGCCACTAGTAAAAGGCACAGGTGAGTGAGGCACACATGCATCCCTGCAGGAGGTGCTCAGAATAAGAAAAATCAGGTTAAAAAATTTAGATGTGTGCACTGTAGAGAAAGACTCCATGTGTGCAACCTGTTTCTCAGGACCCTGCTGACCAGTCAGCAACCTTCCTGGACACGTTTCTATTGGCCCTGATGATAATTCACCATGTGCTTCAGTCTAACACAGGAGAGGCTTCCATACTTTTTTGCCATTTACTACATTACTGTAATACGTATTATATTGCTAATATATTTAGCTCTGCTTTGATTTCTACTGTAGTTTGCAAGAGGAAAAAAGGCTTCTGGAAGATGAATATGAAAAAATTCTGAAACAGAAGGTAAGTACAAAGCAGGAGAAAAGCAATGTTTTATATTTTGTCAGCTAACATATAAAAACATCCGTGAAAATGTTTTCACAGTGTGTATCTCTAAAGTTTATTTAAAATATGAAATAAGTAGAAAAATAGATTTTAAAGGAAGTAGAGTTTATAGGAGAGAATATATAATATCATTCAGTTTCGATAACTCCAGGGCAAGCAATATGATACAGAAAAAATCTGGATTTTTTTGTTTACTAAGAAAATGTTTACTATGTTCAGCAAATGGACACTGCATATAAAGATAGATGCAGGTTTTTGGTTCTAGGATGTGAGCATGAAAAATACATTTGCAGTCATAAATCCTGATGAATATATGTGTTTTTGTTAATAAAATTCTGCTGGTTATTGACAGAAGAAACATACATCTGGTAAAAAAAATATATATTCCATTCCTTCATGCAAAAAATGTGATCATCATTCAGTGTTTGTGATTCTGTATTATCTCAAACATGCAAAATGTGAAAAGGAAAATAAAATTAATCTGATCTTTTACTTCATTTTTAAAGAAAGACGATAAGAAAATTAAACAGTTGAAAGAAAATTGTGACGAGCTCTGCAAAGAAGTAGTTGAGAGGAAAGCAGAAATTGAGGCAATAGAAGAAGCTGTTTCGTCCAAGCAAAAGCTGATATTATTAGATGAGGAAGAAACAGAAAAGCTTCTGGACATGCAGACTAATTTAAAAGTAACACAAAATTAGTTGTGCCTATGTTTGTCTCTGTGTGTGCATGGATGTGTATACGATACATATTTTGTCCAACAGTGAATGTTCTTGATGTTGTTTGTCATTCCAAATCCATTATATATGGCATTACATTATATGTAAGATCATTTTTCAATAGGTGTGAAACATGCTGCTGTGCCATGTCCTTATTGCTCCTTTAGGAAATAATACTACTCATGGTTTTGATTAAAAAATGGTTTCTCTAAAGACATTTTTGCTATACTGTGTTACCGTAGGCTGCTCAGGCTAAAGTTAATACAGATTTATGCTGTGAATTAAAAAACATTCCTGGGTTTGCTGCTTTCCTTTCCATGGATAAACAACATAAAAAGATGTATTAATAATATTCAAGCATAATTTTTATCTTGCAGATATAATGAAATTGTAAATACCAATTTTTAGTTTCAAAAGTAGCACCTACAATTCCCTGGGACAAACACAAGTAATTAAAAAATACGTTTCCTACCCATGTTCACAGAAGCTCTAAGTGAATATTATTGCTGTGAAAACTCATCAGTTTTTGAGGCTATTAATCAAACCTTTCTGTTTTGTCACTAGAGTGAGCTAGTTAAGATCCTTGGTGTTCCAAAACAGCTTGCAAAAGAAACTGAGAAGATATATCGGAAAAAAATGTATGTTTTTAATAAATAATTCCATATACATAAATGTATGACTTCTTACCCATTCGTTACAGAGATGATTGAGGATTGTTGTTGATTAAAATTAGGATCAACATTTAAGAAGGCATCTATTATCCACTTAAAATCCATGCACTGTACTGAAAAATACAGTATATGGAGTGAAACACTGTAAATTTAAGTATAACAAAGAAAAACTTAGAACAAAGCTTGGTCAAAAATTGCTTATCCTTCTTACTGTGCTGCATAACTATATATGACACCTACTTAGTAAATGTTTAGTGGGAAATAGTGTTACTGTGTAATCTCACAATTAGGCTTTTTTTACAGTTCCTAGTGCTTAGGTACTGTGTATCAGCTGATCTCTGTTGGCCTCAGTGGAACCAGCAGCTTCCACAGCTGACAGTCTGGCCTGAGCCACATCATCATTCTCCCTGGATGCTTCTGTACCAGCTGTTGAGTCACAGGTGCTTTGCTGTAAGCCCCTGACGTGATCTGTGGTCTCTAATACTTCAACAGGGAAAATGTAAGCCAGCAGCCAGCCTTTTCTTTCTCTCCCTTGTGGAGTTGGGGTTTTTCTCTTGTGAAGCTTGGCATGTGCTCTTTTCTGTAAGTGTAAAATCTAATTAGCACTGTGCAGTTTCAGCCAGGTCACTCACAGATCCCAGAGGTCCAGTTGCCATCCAGATGAATGATGGAGTTTTTACACTGTTTGTGCACAGAGTTACACTGAAGTTTTTGTGTCTTCTGTTTCCAGTCCCTATTTGCAATACACAAAGGTTAAATTTCTCGGATTTCAAACTTGTGTGATGGTTTTCTTCTACATTTTCCTCACTACTCTGCTTAATGTAACTCTACCATCATAAATCTAAGTAGTTTTCCTTATAGTGTTACAGAGAAGCTATTTTAAAAACCTACATTGTGTAGATTGTTATTAATGAAGCACTTGAATGAATCTTTATACTTGTGTCAGGTCACAGCATGAGCTAACCAGAGTTCCCAATCTTAGGAATAATATTTAGAAGTGTCACACCCATGTACCTGGTAATGTTGCCAGGAATCAGTTTACTAGAACTCTCTTTAATTCTATAATGGTGCTAAACTCTCAGTTAATCCCATGGCGAACTGCAATTTTATTTTTGAACTGTACTAAAATTTGAAGCTTTTCACTGTGTGTAGTCTGTTTTCAAACACATAACCTATACTGTTGTGGTGAAATTATTTTATGTGTCCAATTACCTTTTGCCATTGAAATATGCATGTGGAAAAGTTAACCCCTGCTGCTTTGTTAAAATATATCCAGTGATGCAGAGAAGAAGAATGAAGCCCTTAATGATGAAATAGGAGAGTTGAGTAGAACCCTGAAAACCGTTAAAAAAGGACTGAAGAGATGTTACAAGAAAGAGAAGACGTAAAGAAGGAATTGGAGAGCAACCAAGTTTTGCTAGAAAGCAAAGAAAGAGAATGCATTAGTTTGACAAAATTAGTAGAAATTAACACTGAGAAGGAATTAGAGATCCTATCAAACAGGTTAGAGACATAAACCATGTAGTATGAGGGAACAATTCTCTGCTCTCAAAAGTCTTTCTTCTGCTGTACTACTTCTGTTTTCAAGTTTTAGGCTGCAACCAGTGCAGACTAGAAATGATCAGGTTTGGTTTTGACTTCAGAAATATTTACATAAAAATTTGGAATCTGGAATCTGGCTTGAAGAAAAACTCCAAAAGCATAAGAATTTGATAAAATCCTGGGAGAATGAAAATGGATTTTACTCTGAAAAGGGCAATATTATAGAAGGTTTCTCTCTTCAGTGCAGATATTTTCTTTCCTGTGTAACCCACTGAAAGTAAATTGATGAAGAAAAGGGGATGTCAGTATTTTCATTTTCAAATGAGGATCATGGATGTCAGTACTCATGAACTCCTGAATTTCAGTGGGGATTGGTTACTCATCTCTTTAATATTCCCTTGAATTATGAGCTTATATATACTTGGTAAAGTAAAATCACCTGTTAGGTTGATGGTAAGCTTCAAATTATTCCTTCTTTGCAGAGGGACATGTATAGTTGTAATCATGGCCATATGCTCAGTAACAATGCTTTTGTCTTTAAAGTTTTGTATTAAAGGTCTGTGGCACTTTACACTGAAATATTCCCTCATACTAAAACCTGTATCTTTTTATCTGTACTAGCTTCCCTGGATTTTTTGGCATATTTAGACTATGAGACCCCATTGACATAATTAGGAATATTGTAATTGATTAAATTTATAAAATGCTACCTTTTTAGGGAATTTTTATCAGTAGTTTGAGAGTTTTTCTTGCTGCTCAGCCATAATAATGAGGTACTCAAAACCCATGAAAATGGTCATGCCTGTTTACATATATATCTTGGTGAGGTTACCTGTTACTAAAATTTTGTGTCTATCTCCATAGAGAAATTCTGGAAAACAATTTAAATAAATGTATCTTGGAGAACAAAAAACAACGTGACGCTCTCACTCAAAAGCAAACACAGAAGGAGAGAGAACTGAAAAATTTGAAAGTGTTGGAAGTACAACTGGGTATGATTTATGAGTCCTTGGAACGAGACAAGGCACAGCATAAAAGACTCAAATCAGAGGTCTGTATGAATGCATTGATCATAAAGATTCTAGTTTTTCTTGTAAGAAATCTTTCATGACAGTCCTCAAATCTCTTGACATACCTAGAAGGAAGAAGTGGAGAAGAGTTATTTCAACTTCCTCATTTCTTTCTTGCGTTAGTATTTCACCCATTCCTCTTTCAATATTTCTTTGCTTTTTCTGTTTTACCTAGGCTTTTGACAACGGTGATTTTAAAGAAAAATCTTGTTCTGCTTGTGTGTTCAAAGCATTTTCTTTCTTTTCTGCTTCCAATTCTTTCTTAAAAATTTACTATGTCTATAAATTTTTTATATTTTCTTTCTCTCATCACTGGTTCTTCTATTCTTTCTTTCTTTTTTCTCCTCTACTTGCTCCTTGATTAGTCTAAATTGTAAGTCAGTGTTACAAAATTAATCTTGTTTATTCAGGTGAATATTTTTCAGAGGACTTGACATTTCCTACCTTGACACTGTCCTTGAAATTTGTCTTGGTCCGTGTAAGCAATTCAGGGCAGAAAGGAGTCTTACTTACCTCATTGTAAAGTTTTAAAAAAATAACTATATCAAAGCAAAAGTCATACATACTTAGCTTGCTATTTAAAAACAGTAAATATTACTTGATAATATCTAATATTATTAAACAGTATTTTTTTGTCTCTCTTGAAATTCCTCCAGAATTCACATGTGTATTACCTAGTAGTTTAAGCTTACCTGGGAGGAGGGAGGAAAGCTTTGGACTTAATTCCCTGAAATAATGATTATAGGGCTGGCTCATATTCCAGACTTTGATTTTAGAGCTTAGCTAAGAGAATAAGCTAAGAGAATCTAGGAGATGGCATTTTTTCTTGTGTTCCTGTTGAAGAAATATTCCTGGGGGGAGAGCCACAGCTGTAATGCTGAACCACATGTAATGCTAAAATCAAATTCTGTAACTCACCGACGTCTGTGAGAGTTCACAGTCTGGGGAGAGATTGAAATCCATCCCAAAACAGTTCCTTCACACTGAAAGGACAAGAACTTTGTATGTATCTTACAAGTCGCGTCATCATGAGAAGCAGAGGGAAGAGAATGGCAGGAGAGGCAAAAGTGGAATTCTAATCAGCATTTTACTCAAGAAGTTGCAGGATGCTGCCCTAATGCAAACAGGCCACAGCAATACAGTTGTTTTAGCCCATCCTCCCATGCTTGGTGTTTTCTCTGGTTCTTTTCCCAGCTCTTTCAGAAGAGCAGATGTGAAATCGTGGCTCCTCTGCACCATGGTCAGTGCAGAGGCAGAACTGCAGTATGGGAGGGTCGAGTGTCAACCCTGCTCCTGCTTGGCTTTTGCCACATTGAGGCAATTTTAATCCATAAGACTTGGGAGTACACCTAGCAAAAGTTAAAAAAACCCACCAAAACACAAGAATTAATTGCTCATTTAAAGATGTGGTTGCAGAAGCAGCAGTACAGCAGTGTGCTTCCCCAAATTTCTCATATTTTGAACCATAAGCTAAGTGCACAATGACTGGTTTGTAGAACGAGGAAATTACAGGAACACTTCCTTCAAATGTGTTTTTCTTCTTAGTAAGTTGTGAAAGGTCAGCTATTGCTAAACGCTGCTGTTCTGTGTGAAAGAGAACTGCTCCTCTGACCGTCACCAGCCCGGAGCAGAACTGCTGCTCCTCTCCGTGCGTGCCTTTCCTTCGCTCAGGCCAGTGCAGAGACAGCCAAAAGTGCCTAAATTTAGCCATGTCTTATGTGAACAAAAGTTCTTAATGGATTAAAGATGTTTATATGAGCTCTTAACTTTAACACAGCAGAAGTGGTAACTAATACAGGCTCCACAGAAAAGCTGTTTTTGTTTACGCCACGAGAGTGAAAATCACTTTCTTAGAACAGGTTTTATTGACCTTTTAGTAAACCTAAGTCAAATCAAATCTCAGAGCTGGCAGCTGCAACCAAAGTAACTCCACAGTTTGACCTTTACTGTGTTCTTTTTCCCCTTTCATTTAATGCAAGTGAATGTTTAATTTTACAGTATTATCACAGAAGTTAAAATCACAAATGCAAAACATCTACTTATCAGTATTGATTTATAGTGTTTTGAACTCTAACATCTGGTTGAGATCTGAGCAAGATACCACAGGGTTGTATGTATTATCTTTGAATATCTTCCAGATGTGTTGTTAAATGTGATTTCTTTCCCACCCATATGAATTTCAGATTTGCAATTAGAATCATGGAACCATAGAATAATTTGGGTTGGAAGGGATCTTTAAAGGTCATTTATTTCATACCCCTGAAGTAAGCAAGGAGACCTTCATCTAGATCAGGTTGCTCTGAGATCAGTCCAACCTGGCATTGAACGTTTCCAGGGATGAGGCATCTGCCACCTCTCAGGACAACCTGTGCCAGTGTTTCACCACCCACGTTGTACAAAACTTCCTCCTTATGTCTAATCTAAAACAACCCTCTTTTGTTTTAAAACTCTTACCCCTTGTCCTATCACAACAGGCCCTGCTAAAAAGTTTGTCCCCATCAATTAGATAGGTAACATATACCTGCATATGCTGCATTTATTTCTTACTTGCTTATAAACATAAAGAATTTTTAAGTGAATTTAGTCACAGGGAGGTCAATACAACCTTTTGTCTTACTAGTTATATCATGCAAGTACTTGTAGTGGGATTGTTCAGATATATTTCAGAGGTAGTTTCTAACTTATTCCTTCACATAATTTTAATATCCAATTGAATAAAGAAATTTTCCCATAATGTATACGAAAAAGCCTTCTAAATTCACTCCTTAAACTGGGCTTTGTGAAGTTTAGTGTTCATAGTTCTTAACAGGAAAATTTGAGAAACTTTGAGGAACTAAACTCAATGAAGCACTCTTGGACTAGCTACTGTAATAAGAAAGAAAATTAATTTCTTCATTTAGGTAACTACTTCAAATAGAGTCTCTGTAGTTTACATTTTCCTCATTTTTTGTTTGCATTACTAAGTGACCTTGGTTTATTTTTGTAGGTGGAAATTAATGCCAAAAAAAATGAAGAATTATTAGAGAGACGACGAGAAGTGCAGGACGAAATTGAAGTGATCAAGAGACGTTTGGCTGAACAGGTTCTGCTTTCTCACATTTTTTCACTGTAACAATTGGTTTTCTAACATGAGATTAAAGGAACACTGAACTAAAAATAATGGGAGTTTCTAGATATAGCTTTCTGATGAGAAAATGGGATAGTATTTGTTCAATTTTAAGGGCCACTTGTTTGTCATTTAAAAAAAAAAATAAAAGAAAATTTATGTTTTTAAATCCATGTAGTCTGTATAATTTTTTACTTTGCAGATAAACCCAAAGTATTTCCAGCTTTGGGTTTGCCCACACTGATGCATTGATGCATAAGGAATTAAATTTAATTTTCTCTAGGAAATGATCTCAGATATGGATGCCCACAAGTTAGAAGAATGCATTGCTAAAGAACGCCTGCTTTTCAAAGAGCAGGAAAAGCGCAGAGATGAGTTATCCAAACTTATACATCTGACTTCTCTCAGAGCTGATGAGAGGCAAATGAAATCCAGGGATGTTCAGAAAGCCAAGGTAAAAAATTATATCTTTGGAAAACTTCTCAAAAGCAAAGGCTGGTATAGGCAGAAATTAACTTGCTAGTGAGGGGAGCCTTATGGATTCTCACTTCCCATCTAGCTTTGAAATTCCATCAGAACCCAGGAAGATCAAACAATACTGTGGTGTTTTATTGGCAATTTGTGGTGCAGTGCTGCAGTTTTTTAAACATCACTCCACAATTGAAACAAGGTATTTGAAAGAACATTTTCTTTCAAGTCTATGGAATAAAATGAATAATTTGAAAGAAAGAGGCAGAAAAGAAGATAACCTCACCTGAGATTTCTAGAAGTACAACTGTGTGTTTTATTTCACAAATATATGGACATTAGGAGAAAAACAGAACTACTACTCATTCCAAGGAGAGGCAGAAATCTTTATTTTCCTGTTACATTTCAAAGCATAAATGATTATATTGATTTAGAGAAAGAGGAGGGAAAGAAAACTTTTCCTATGATTAGTCATTGTGTTTGCTGCCTGCATTTTTATTAATTTATTTTTATTATAATGTCGTGTGTGCTGCGACGTCACACACTATTTACTGAATACCAAATTTTTATATGGGAACCAACTATTTATGTTCCCAAAATGTGTGTCTGTATTTAAATAAATTATATAAGCCACCTTTCTACCACCTTGGGAATCTTTGCCTATAAAAATAGAATAAACAAACATGTCAGGCTTTGTACCTTCAATAAAAATCAGTCTATAAACAGATTAAAAAAAAAATAAACCAATACAAACTCAGGAACACACAGACATGCCCAAAGTTGCAACTCATCATCCACCAGCTTTCCATAATACCAATCTGCTCCTCCTGATACCACTGGGAGGGGAGAAAAGGCCTATCTATTGAATGTTCATGGCCCAGGCTATCGAGGACTGAACACAACTGAAATCAAAAGGTCCAGAGCCTTAACAGAATGCACATGTACCATTCTGCTCAATCATCAGTGATTACTTAAAAGTTAGGATTGAATAAAAAATAAATTTTATTTGTAAACATACAATTTCACTGGTGCATGTGCCAAATAATGATATAGTGGTGGAATTGGTAGGTTGATTAGTAGAAACAGCAGAACTCCAGATTCAGGGGACCAAGCATTTAAGATGCAGCATCAAATTATCTACATTAGTAACAGTCATTGTCAGCTTAATATAGATGGGAAAATTGTGTTCTTTCATGTCATTTTAATAAAAATACTTCATTATCATTGGAAAAAGTCGTTATAATTATCTCCTTTCACGTCTTTTCCTTATCTAAGAGTTGTTCTAAGTAATTTCTTTAATATATCTGAAGTGCTCACTAAATTCTATTTAAATTTCAGATCCAACTCCAAAATCTTACTAAAGAAGTAAAAAGAAAGAATCTTGAAATAAAAGTCTGGAAAAAGAGGAGAAAAGACATCCAAAACCAGTAAGAAAATAATAACATAATTAAATACATTATCTAAAAAAGTCTTTTAAAGCAACTTTTATCCAAGTAGTGTATGCATAAAATTCTAATAATTCTTTCACATGTGTCATTTCTTCAGACTCCAAGGGTTTGCTAAAATGTGCGATTTTATCCAAAGTGAAAGGGATAAATGTATACAGTTGGTGCGTGGTGCTCAGTGGAAAGCAAGGGAAGCTGGAAACCGGGTAAAATTCCTAGAAAATAAAATAGAAAATTTAAGGAATACTGTTTTAACCAAGGAAAGGTGAGTTTAAAGTAAGCTGTGGTTCACAATTATAGAAATGTAAGATTAGAAATCTTAGGAGAGAATCTAGTCCCTCTTCAGTTAAGCCTGTATCATCCTTGATAGTTATTATCCTGATTTTTAAAATCTGATTAAAACAAAGGCATTTAGCAATGTTCCTACATAATCTATCCCAATTTCTGATCCCCCTAACACTTTCCAACTAGCTTGGGCATCACTGTATGAGAAGAAACACTCTTAAAGTTTGTCTGGCTACTCCCTCACTGTCCCATTCTTTGAAGGAATAAATTTTCATTGCATTTCCTTTATATCACAGTTTTTAGATCTCTTAATGTTTGCATTATCATGCTGTTTCATTCAGTGTGAGCAGCACTGTTGTACTCACGCTTGCTGTCCTGGCACATTTGATTCCACAGTGAAGCTGTGCATGGTCTATTAAATGAGTCACTAGCTCGTAATGTGGCTGTCTAATTATTCAGTTAGAACAAACTGGGTTTCTTGGTTCAAACTCACATGGAGTTTATTAGATAACATTTATTTCAGATGAAACAAAAAGTGGTTTCAATTTCTAAGCAATCTTAGACAATGAAAGGCTACATTCACAACAAGGAGGATGAGGCAGAATGACTGGTGCTTGTGACTCTGTTTTTCCCTAGACCATTATTTAATGGAGATATCTTGTTGCCATCTTTTTGTAATCCTAGTGATGATATTCTGAAATACAGACAGAATTAAAATGTCTTGGAAATCAGTAGTTGGGCAAGTAGGAGACAGTGAGTAGCCAGCTGTGTAAGCAAAACAGGACAACCAAAACTGAGTAGTTTAAAAATAACTTGATTTTTACAAAACTATTTTATTTGGTGCCAAAAAAATTGCACAACCAGACCAAAGAATACATTAGTAGTGTAATCTCTTAGTAGTTTGATTTCAAAGTCATACTGGAGGTAGCTGGAAAAGAAGTGGAATTTCAGTGATTGATTTTGTCAAGGTTTACAAGCTGACATTTTGTGGTAAAATTTTTGAAGCCTTATCAGTTGATGAAAGAAGGGGAAAAAAGGCTAAGACAGATAAATATTGTATAGATATCATGAATATATAATTATTATAGGTGACCCTACTCAATATAGATCCAACAGATATTTTGATCTCTACAAGGCTGGATTTAAAACTAGCAAGAGGTACTAAAGTCTCAGTAATCCTCTTGCCTATGAAAAATATTTTTAATCTCAGTACCAGACTTTAGTATCGGTATCACTGACTTCACTGCAGCTTATACAATTTGGAGGACAGAGTATTGGTCCAAACAAGACAAAAAAAAATTGAGAAAATATTTAAAACACACTGCATTTCTGCAACACTGTCATACTTTCAGCCTGAAACTCGATTTACAGAAGTTTAATTCAACTCAGTAATACCTGAGTCACTCAAAGTGTTATGCGTGTCGAGGGGAAACAAACCAGAAAGCAGCTCCCTGCTCTAGATACAGCAATTCAGAAATGTAATGGTGGAGCCTCTGAGGGGAGGATATTTCATCTGCAGGCCTGTATTTTAACAGGAGACTCTGCTTCTCCTTTCACTACCTCTTTTGTATGTTGATGTCAGTATCTTCCCAGTGTAGACAGTGCTGTGTATCCACAAGTGATCCTTTCCACAGATCAAATTCACTAAGTTCCATGCTGTGAGCAAGTGAATGATCCATGTAAAACAACAATCTGTCTTTTAAGTGAGGAACCATCATCCAGTGACCAGCACAGGATGTTGGAAATAATGAGATCTGTTGTTTATGTTTACGTGATCTTGTCACTAACCTTCCAACTATGACTTTTTTTATCTGTCAAATGGGTAACCTGATAACTTTCTTTCTCATGTTAATGTTGTGATACATCATTTTATAAACAATAAACTTGGAGAGCTTTGAGTTGCAACCACAAAAATGATTTAAATATTGTTCTTTAAATAGAAGGGCAGGACTTCTACACACTTAGACTTTTCATCACAGTTTATGCTTCTGCCCTTGAACTTTATTTCTTATGGCCCCTTGGGCTACCCAGTAGAGAAGAAAAGAGCTGTAGTGCAGTGCTCCCTTTATAGCATTTTTCTTGGGCCATAATCCAGTTCTTTTCAAGCTGGAAAGAGCTTGCAAAGAAAAACCATCTCAGAGTATCTTTCTACTTCTTGTAATGCTTCTGTGAAGCACAAAGACATAGAGGATTCTTTGTGTATTTGTGGAATGAGTTTAAGAGCTGCTTTTAATTGCTGAAGTTGGTTTCAAGTTGAAAGGACTAAAAGTATTCCCACGTTTCTGTTATGTTAAAGAAAATTGCAGGAAAAGCATACGAAGATTAAAAATAATGCAGGAATGATAGAGTATCTCAAAATGAATTATTGCAAAATTGCACAAGTCATTCAAGAGACAAAAGAAAAACAAAAGCATCTGAATCTTGAGAGACTGACCATGACAGTCACCCACATTGAAGAGGACATTGCGCGGCTCTGCAAAAAATGCGAAAGGGCTGTTCAGCAACAAAAGGAGAGGTACATGTGTAAACTCCATCTAAGGTAGTGTTTAATTTTGACATTCATGAAGCAGCAGTATTTTTCAGCTTATGAGCACTCCTATTCAGGAATACTAAAAAATCTGCTGCGTTACCATATTTCGCTGAACAATCTGCCTCACTGCACTGACGGTGCTGCTTTGCATTATGTGGATGTTTCTCCACTGGTGACAATGCTCATTCTGCAGAACTATTTAATTCAAAAAACATGGTGGCTTGGCTACTGAATGCCTTGAGAACTTGTAGCCTCCTACTCTGTTTGTGCATTGTGCAGAGATAAGGTATAAAAATGCAGATGATCTAAATCTTTCTGATCTTCTTAATCCATTTTAAATGCTGTGGTAGCCCAGATCTTAAAAATTATATGAGAGACAAGAGTAACCTTTCTAAGTGTTTGTCCTCTGATTTTAACATTGCAATTATTTAGTTACTTATTTAAAATGCTGACATTATATTAAAATATTATTTGTGAAAGCTTTGTAAATTTTCCCAGATTATTACTATCTTTCAAGGTCACAGGTTATGTTCTTGAATGAATAATTTTTTCTTTTTAATTTACCTCTTCACTTTGGCCTTATTTCAGTTGTCTTCTGCTCAGAGAACGAGATGAAGAACTAGGCTTCTTACACGAAAAAATAAACAGGCAAGAGATGATGTGTAGAAATGGAGATAATGAGATGCAAGTTATGGATGAAAAGATCAATTTTCTGAAGCTGAAGGTAGCTGAGAAAAAGAGAGAGATTGCATTGTGTTTTAAAGACCTCACAGTGAAGAATGCTCTGAATGCAAATCTGGCAACACTTGAGATACAGGTTGGTGGTAGAGGAACCTTTTTTTTTCTGTCATTCTGTATTTCAAAGCTTAGGGCGATTTCATAGAAAAAAAAGTCTAGATGTGCAAAGTTTATTAAAGCAAGTTGAGTAATACACCTGTCTGGCAAAACACTGCCACAGGTTTTTAACTTCAGATATGGGAGTTTCTATGTTTATGTGTAACCGGCTGATGCTCTTTGTTACGCACATGCCAAAGGCTTCCCGGGTATGGAATCTCAGCTAACCCTGCCCATGGCCTGAAATGTCACTATGACTAAGCTGGAGAATGGGAGTCATGGGGCAAAAATGGGACTGTAGATAAAATTTGTTAAAACTGTATTGATGGAGTAGGTGGAGGGGTGGGAGATACACTTAGATCGTCAAATTTCTGAAATAATAACTCAATTCACACTTGACCCTGAGCCTACTCTGGAAACTCTGCAGCCTACAATGATATAATCCACATATATTTTCTGCTCCACAAAAACAGTGTAAGTTTTAGTTCTAGTTACAACATAACATTAAACAACTAACAAACTGCAGTTCTTGGGACATTCTTTCCTCGCTTTCTGAAATGGCTCATTTAGTTTTGACCTTATCTCCAGATGGTAATTTTCTCCATACATACTCCATTAGTGCCTGCACAAAATCATAAATTAGGGTTTACCATTGCCTTTTAAACTTGCATCAGTGGGAGCTGTGACTCACTGTTTAATAGTGCTTGCACTATTCTCTTACTTCTGGCCTTTTGAAGAAATTGTGTGCTCTGCTACAAGAATAAAATGTAGTACAATACCTCATGCAAATCATGCCCAAAGAACTTTACAGGGCCCTTACAGATTTAAACTATGAACAGAGGTGGTATGGGAAAAAAAGGCATTTTCAGGTAAGATTTAGAATGAGGCTGAAAGTCACTGAGTCAAACACAGTAACAAAATGCAGATGATTTTTGTGAACTGGCAAGGTCAATCATGAAACTTTGCTTTTCCTGTTCTGCATTCCTGCAACTTTCTCCTTTGTGATGATGGTTCATGTGAAGCCTAAAGTCACTGTTGAAGGAACGCTATTGTTGCAGGTGCTTTAAATCTTTTTGTAACATTGACATAAAATTAAAAAATAGGAAAATACAGTTTTGTGATATTACACATGCAGTGTATTACACATGCAGTAGTCTTAATAAATATTCCCAAGTCAGAGATTTTCCAGTTACCAATGACAAATAATCAGTTATCAGCCTTTAAAATTTAACTAGCTACTGTGATTACTGGATATTACATGGTTCAAACTGGCTGCTAACTCATCCATCTCCTTATGCTCAACCATTCCAGCATTAATATTCTTACTCCCACTGCCAACAAGTACTATGCCCACTGAGAAGCAGTTTCAAATTATCTCCATAATTTAAATAAAAACTATAAGTCTGAATCTGATTTCTGGTGTTGGTTGCCAAATTCAGATTGCTAATTTCTGTACCAATTACAAATTTGAATCCATGTTGAAATCCAATTTGGCTTCTGTTCAGTTATCATGGTCAAAGAATCTCATGATAATGATCATTTGGATGAGACATTGACTTGATGATGCAGTGAATACAGCTTTAAATCACTGGTCTACAGCCCTCTGAAGGGGTAACAGGAGCTCATTTTGGTCTGTGCTTTGTCTTTCTTTCAGTGTAGACAATTATAAACGTTCAGAGAGAGGTTCTGTGCACCACAGGGCTATGAAACCCTGATATCTATCAGAGTCCCTTATACCTCCTCTAATCCAGACTGTAAATCTCATTTCTGAGTTCTCCTCTTTGTTTTACTTCTCCATTCTGTTGTGACTTTGTGTAGGAGCCAGTGTCCCTAACCTTATCTGCATGTTAAGAGCCCACAAACGATGCAGATAAGTGAACAAGGTCTCTTTACTGATGGAACGAATTGTGTGTCTTTGCCTCCAGAGGGAAATCCTGATAACCTTATGTAGGGAGCACAATATTCCTCCAGGAGGTCTTTACTCTCAAGGCATCTACCTCTGCCCATCAATGGCATGGGAAACTTTGACTCGTATAAGAAGGAAGAAATTCTTCACAGAAAGGGTGATTAGATATTGGAATGGGCTGCCCAGGGAGGAGGTGGACTCACCGTCCCTGCAGGTGTTTAAGGAAAGACTGGACATGACAGTGCCATGGTCTGCTTGACATGGTGGTGTTCAGTCACAGCTTGGACTTAATAACCTCAGAGATTTTTCCAACCTAAGAGATTTTGTGATTCTGTGATTCTTTAAAAGACATCTACAGTTTAAATAAAATTCAGACTGTCTGATATGGGCAGGCTGAATCCTATATCCATGCCTCTTAAATTTTCTCCTCTCCTTTTCCCTCCCTTCCTGTCTCCTTCAGTCTTAAGCAACCCCAGACCTCTTTGAAGCAAGTGCTAATAACTTGGACTAGGTATTTCGTTACTACAAATGTAAAGAATTAAACCCAGAAATATTTGCAGGCTGCAGAAATGACCCATAATCTCAGTAGCTGGAGTGCCCACTGGGAAGGCGAAAAGCCCAGAGCAGGGCTGGGTGCCAATTCAGCAAGAACAAACACTTCACCTGAGCAGCTTCATATTCCACATGAGCTGCTTAATCATCAAAGCGATGTCTGTTCCACTTGTGCACTCTTTATCAGAAGCTGCCTATTTCCAAAAAGAGTGAAACATCAATGAGTAGTTTAGCCAAAAAACCCCTTCCCTGAAGCAAGACCAGACCTCTTCTAAGCAAGTGCTAGTAACATGGACTAGGTAGGATTCTTACTATCAATGTAAAGATTTAAAAATAGAAATATTTTCAGGTACTTCCTTTATCTGACACAAAAAATGTACCTGGTGAGTTTGTAGGGTGGTTTTCTCTGGGCATAAAACTATGTAACTTTTAATTGGGACTGCACATCAAGGGGCTGCTCCTGCTGATTGAAGTGACCCATAAAAACTAATCTGCCTTCATGCATCAATGAGAAATACTTAGCATCAACCATTAATTAGTCCAACACATAGACCTGCTGAGCTGTCTTGGTGCTGTAGATGGGACTTTCACGCCTCAGAGTTCAGCTAATGCACAAGGACTGTCAGTTTTTTTGAGGCATTTGGCAACAACATTTGTCCAGGTTTTAATACAATCCCATGAAAATCTCCAGGCATCTCTACATCACCACAGGCACAGAATAATGGGACTAATAGACAGATAAAGATTTATCTATCTGCTCCTATGCCAGCATCAGATTGCCTGTCATTCCCGAAAGGGCTAAGCTGTGCTTTCAAGCCACCACTGGGAAACCTGTTTCCCCAACAAGCTATCCCAGTCCTTCCTTAAGAGTGGAAAGATTTTCTTGACCTTTAGCCTGGATCTTTCTTGCTGCACTGTAAGAATGATTGATTTGTATTTGTACACCAGGGACATGACAAGCAGACCACTCTTTTCCTTTCTGCAGCATTTCATGTTACTGGAAGGCAGTTAACCATGTTCCTCTCCCCTCCTTTTGCTAGGCTACACACCCCTGTTTCTTTCGATCAGCCCTGACAGATTTTTCTTAGGTCACTGTTTTTCTGCATTTCTTTTATTTTTGGCAATATGGTCTTTATTTGTCTTGAGGTACAGTGTGTAGTGGCTGAGAGTGAAAGGATTCATTCATGCCTCTTGCAAGTTACATTCCTGCTTATGTGTCCAGGTATGATGGCAGCTTTTCTTGACATGACAGTGATTCATTTTCACATAAATGTGTGCAACAACCAGACCCTTTTTTTAAAAAAGGGCATCCAACCAGTTGACCTTGATTTTGTGTTTGTACAGGCAATTTTTCCTGCCTACACATAGGAACTTATATTTTTATTTAATATTATCTTCTGAGTTCAGACCTTTTTTCAGACCAAGGTAATTTTGAATTTGCATGTTCTCCAAAAACTACTTGCAATCTCTCTGAGTATGACCTCATTCTGCTGATGAGGTACTTACCGTATATTTTCATCAAGAACCCATTTCCTTTGCTTGTTTATGAGAATCACATGAGACAATATTGAAGCTACATAAAATTCAAGATGTATGATACCTACTATTTGTCATCCATACACCTGTGAAATCATCATAGTGGGACATTGGTCTGGTCTGGCATCATGACTCAACACACCTCTCTTGGCTGTTATTCCTGCCCTTTTCCTTTTCTTGACACCAGCAAAGCAAACTTAATGATATGTTCCAGATTTATTCTTCAGAAAGTGAAGGTAAGTTATCTATGGTTCTATAGCTCCTTTTCCCCTCACTTTTGAAAATAATTCTGATATTTGCCCTTTCCTAGTTCTGTACATACCTCACCTACTGTCTCTGAGATTTCAAAAATAAGCACTGGATGTCCACTTTTTCAGACCATGTGTTCCCTCTTGTGTGGCCACCCTTCAAACCATCCCTCCTGGCAGATTACAATCCAACACAGAAAAGCTGCTCTTCTAGAGCCTTTTCCTATCCCCTGTATCAAATCCACTCCAAGTAAGGAAGGATTTTTTTTTTTTCATTTTAAGACTTAGAATCTCTTAGAACTCAGATAAAGTCCTGCATCTGATCACTTTGAATTCGTATTGCATTTAAAAGCGAGGTTAGGTTTAACATGAAACTTTTAATGAATTTTTTTATGGAATTTTGGACACTGGTTTTGCTGCAATAGTCCTTCTCTAAATTAACTATTCAGTCCTGCAAAATTTTCCTTGGTGAGCTGCCCCTAATCTCATTAAGGTACCACTGCCTCCAACAAGGTATTTTCCCTGAGTTTTAGTGGATGAGAAATTTGGCCCCAGATAAGAAAGATCACTGGAAGCATAACTGCACCCTGCTGTGCTGGCCCTACTTTTGCATTCTTCCACTCTGTGTATTTTTGGGCTTGAGTTTTAGTTGTTTATAATTAAAACATATCTTTCAGTTCATTATTTATGTGCTGAATCATGCTTTGCTGAGGAAATTGTGCATTACAGTCATTTAAGGTTTTTACTTTACCTGCTTTTAGACAAAGTGTACAGGAATGAGCTGTGTGGTGCTTTTTTACTAGAAAAAGTGTTCTGGTACTGTTCCATTGACACCTGAGAGGACTTGTCAGTTTTTCCTTTTGTAGTTAAATATGACTTGTTAACTTCCAGGAACAAACCCCATCCCAGCAACATCTAAACATTTACTTTATATTCTGGTGACTGTTCATAACTTTGAGAGCTAGTGACCACTTATTTCCTTAATCAATCATCAGCTGCAGTGGATGGTTAATATTTATACCTGGTAGTGTTATGTCAGTGCTAATAGCTCAAGGTTGCAGTGACAACTCACTGACAGATGGCCAGGTGCTTATCAGAGCACAAGACCCCACCACTGTCAGTCTTGCAAGTCCAAACATGGAAAAAATGGCCCCAGTCACTCCTTTAAAAAGAGGATTTACGTGGTGCCTGGATGTCCATCTAGCATTTTCTGGGAAGTGTTATTCCATGGGAAGGTCTCCCATCAGAAAGGTCAGGGAACACCTGCCTCTATGAGTCCCTGGGGTGCCACATTGCTCAGTGTCACTACTGAGTCACTTCAGGACATGTGCCTGGGAACTTCAGTGTAGAAAACTTGGATGCCTGTAGGGATGAGACCTGCAGCACCAACCTGTGGGGAAGCAGGACTTTCTATTGTATTACTGAGGATAAAAAAAATGTAGCCTGAGGTCCAAGAAACAGGTGGAACTCAGTTTCTGTCAGACAGCAGGGTTTCCTCTGTCCTGCAACTGTCACGCTATAGTTCCCTTTTGAAATAAAATTTTAAAAGGGCTCATAATTTTCTGTGTTACCCTCCCTCTTTCCCAGTACAAGGAAACCTCGTGCATTGAGTCTGTGGACCAAGGTATGGGGATGAGTTTGGTGGGAATAAATAATTGTTGTGGCCTTTTGTTTCTTAGTATTCCCAGTGCATAGAAAAGATTAAACAGATGGAGGAAATCTTTGGTGATGCCACAAATGAAAGCAGAAGGCATGAAATGGGAGGGAAGGACCCATCTGCACCTGAATTGCTGAAAAAGATTGAACAGGTAACATCACTTATCACATGCCAGCCTACCCTGCTGTTCTCAACTGCTTTTATAAAATGCAAGTGGAATTTAAATAATTATGATTGGCTACTGTGAATCCAGCCTAGTGTCTACTTTCCAGGTCAACTGGATGTGGGGCATTTTGTCTTCTTCCAGCAGAGGCTGGGGAGGGGGAGCTCTGTGAGGTACACCTGGCTCTCCTGCATGTTCTGCTAACCAGTCCATTCACATTTTGGCACTTCAGTGCAAACCCACCTCACTAGGGAAAGCAGCAGAGGGAGATAAACGCAGAAAAACAAACTGCTAACAGTTGTCAGTCTTCAGCAACGGGCCATGAGCTGTTCCACCACTACCCACGGGCTGTGAGCAGGAGGTAGATCTGCCACCCTCCTAAGAGTCTGTCTGGGTGACACAGAATCAAACAGCCCACCTTGGCAGGGCTGGGCTCTACTGCTTTCCTTCCCTGCTGAACAGGGAGCCACCAAACAGGCCTTGGGGAAGCAGCAGCCAGGCCAGCCCAGGAGCTGCACTGCTGGGACTGCCCCGAGAGACTTTGGAGGGAAGCATCAGATCCAATCAAAAGCCCATTTCAGAGCCCTCTGTAGGGGGTAGGGAAGAAAGTAAATGAGTGGAATGAGCAGACACGGCATTTTCTTATATGTATTTGTCTGTTCCATTTATAGAGGCACAAAACTCGTCCCACTGTGTTTAGTGTTGGGGAGATTCACACAGGGCTCTGAAGGGCTTAGGGCAGTAGCAGCAAAGTCAGAGCAGCACACACCAATGTCCTTTCAAAATCCAATTTCTAAGGACATACCCTGAACACTGCTGCTTGAATTACCTGAGCTTTCTGCCTTACTGTCCCACGTTCCTTGACCGGAGGCAGCTCTGAGTAGCCAAGTAGGCCACAACAGAGTCTACTGTCATCAACCTGCACATTAAAAAGCAGGGTTTCTTGGACCCATGATTAGTTTAAACATCTATTTCAATCTCCTTGGGAATTAAAGTCAGTGTAGTTGTATTTGTTTTGTTACTTTATGGAGCCCATACTTTCTCTTTTTTTAGCATCAGGAGAGAAAAGGTATACAAAGTGAGAGCTGAAACCTTCCCATCATGGTGTGATTCAACAAACCAGAACATTAAAAAAAACCCAAACAAACACTAGAATAAAGCCCCATTGCTTTCAAAAAAAGCATAGCAAGGCAGTAACAATAATGTAACCCCCACCCCCAAAAGGCCCAGTCTAATATGGAAGAATTCTATGACTGACAGTAACCAACTGAGCCAATCTGGGCCTGATACTTGGCAGAGAGGGTGAAAATTTTGAGAAAACTGATAGTGAAAGTGTTTGGGGTTTTTTGGTATTACTTCAGCAGCTCAAAGCAATCACAGAACACCTTGTGCTGCACCTTCCCCTGTCATTTCCTTACACCCTGTGTGTCTTCCTCCCTGCTGCAGCTGGAAGCAGAGCTGCTCCAAAAGGAGCAGAAGTTGATGCAGAAGGAATTTCTTTGCGAGTCCATTTCTGAAATGACGGACAGAATCCGTGTCGAGGCAGAGAACAGGAAGCAGGACATGCTGCTGTTCGCTAGAAGGGTGAGGAGGGCACTGCACACTCTGCTTGCCAAGCTTTACAAAATGAAATAATATCTGGGCAAGAGGTGATTCACTTGCAAATTACAAAAGTGGCTGGAAACATTGATAGGCAAGTCTTAAGCTATGCTTCAGAAATTATAAACAGGCATAGTAGCAATCATACAGATAATACCAAAACCACTAGGTAAATGTACTTTCTTTTAAAAAGAAAATTGCACTGTAATTGGTACCTTTCACAAAAATAAAGGATTAGTTCTTTCTGAAATAGATTCTTAGAAACTTTGTGGAATCCTTCTTTTGCACATGTACTTAACAACAAACATGTCAAAGGCTAAAAAGGTATAAAGAAAGGCCTGGTAAATTCTACTCCAACATACACTAAGATGAACTTGGTATCTGGCTCAATTTGCTATTTAGGTAGGGAGAATAACACAGGAAACATCATTTTCAATACAGTTATTTTTATATAGTGATAGATGTTTCCTTTTAACTGTCAGTAATATTGTTTGTGAAAGACCAAAATGCTCCCAGCTCCCATGCTCCTAATGAAAAAGCTGCAAATAGATCAGAGCTCAGGGAAAGCCAGAAAAAAATGCTAAGTAATTAATGTAAAACAAGGCCAGGACTGATTTCTTTTGTTAGGTGTTAGGATCGGCAGGCACAAAGGCTTAAAACAAAACAGATTTTTATTATCAATCATTCCAGTTTTCCAGACAGAGAAATATCATCAGTTGTCACTTTTGTTTGTGAAATGATGGCCATGGGCTAATAAACTACTGTAAGAATGGCAGCGTGCCAAAGGTTACAAGTGCTCTGCCCTGTTAGTCACTTGAAGAGTCTTTAAGTTTTGTTGGGTTTTTTTAAGCCACTCCAGTCAGACTCAAGGATTCCTGCCACATTCCTTTTCAGTTGTGTCCCTTGCGAGGATAATGCCAGTTTCTGTGGTTCCAAGTGCTTACAGAAATTAAGTAATTTTCAAGTGTGGAACTTTTATTTAAAACCTTGTCAAGTTGGACTAGTTTTCAGATATCTAATGCTGACCTAAGTGTCATGCCCAGTAAGTGCCTAAAAGGAAACCCTAACTACAATGCAGCTGTTTTGAATTCCAGATGAATGAACTGCAGAGGAAGATAAAGGACAGAACCCAGGAAAGGAGGGCTCTTATTGCAGAGTTGACCATGAAGCAATCACTTGTCGTTCAACTGCAAGAGGAAATGAGAGAAAAAGAACAATTTGTGATGATTGCTTCATGGAGGATAAGTCAAGGTCTCCCCCCTCCTAAAGAAACAGCAAAGGAATGGTTGAAGGTCCTAGGCAGTGAGAAGACACACAAAGCAGCAGCTGAAGCCAGAGCTGAAGTAAGTTTTTGTCATACATTGCAATTCAGTGTTCAGCCCCATCCCTTCACTGCTCTACCTGGTCTTTCCAGAAGAGCTGTGCTGGCTCCATGTGGAGCCGCTCACCGGCTAACACGGAGCTCCAGCAGCCAGGTCATGGTACAGACAGAGACAACTACTAAGGGGGGTTCATGGAGCTTTAACTCCAGTCTGGCAATACCACTTAGAGCTGGTCATTCAGTCTTTAGGAGATCATGTACTAAAAGTGTCATCCTGGATTATTAAAGTAGTTTTTGTGATCATGTTGTGACTGATAGGTGAGACAGCCATCAGTGGAATACTGCTTTCCACTGGATTTTAAGGTAAAGCTGCAAAAGGTGAGGTGTGGGGTTCAGGAGAAATAAGTTTAGCATCTCCCACATATCAGATGCAACGAGCATCAGATGAGAAGAAGCAAGAAATCAGATTGCTGGGCAAGACACTGAGGGTAGACAGGGCAGCACATCAAACAGTGCTTCAAACCCTACCCTGCTGGACACTGCCTCTGTCCTTGAAACAGTCAGTGATCCCAGAGCAGAGAGCTCCTACAGAATAATAATGGTTTAGAATAAGAATCTTCTCTGTCATTGACCCTTCTCCTCATGCTGTGACTCAGTTTCCCTTCAGTGCTGTGCATAAAAGCTCACTGCAGTAACTGTATTCAGGAACAGAATTGTTCCCAAGATGTTCTACAATTATTACAGCTTTTAAAAGTTCCTCTAATCTGTTTTCTTTACAAATAACAAAAGCATGACAGGCTCAAACTGTCAACTATTTAAAAGGACAAACTCCCATCTACCTGGTCAAAACCTCATGCTTTTAATACCCCTCCAGCTTTCCTGGTTTGCCAAGGATTAGACTAATAATGTTTCCTTCATCACAGACTCTGTACATTGGCTCAGGAGAGCACTGGAGTTTTAAAGCACACAATCCCTATGTGATCAGACTGTGTTTCTCTGACAGGACCCTGCAGAGAAGGAACAAGATGCAGTGCCTGGCCATGCCCACACGACAGCCCAAGGATGCCCAAGCTCCTCTATCCCAGATAAGGAACAGAGTCCCCCATTCCCACGGCCCCACGGTGCTCTGCCTCCTCTCAGACCAAGTGAATCCAGTTCAGATCAGAGACATTTCAGCAAATCTACTGCACAGCCATCTGAAACCTCAACAGACAGCACCTGAAGCAGGAGAGGCCATTTCTGGTTGCTGAATCCTGAGGGTCAGCAGCATTTACACTGCACTGAAGGAATGTCTGTTACTGTTCAGCCAAAGTCCATATTGAAAACAAAGTACTTCTTCATGCCAAAAGCACAGTTAACTAGTTGGTGATCCAAAGCCTCTTCTCCTGGCATCCCAAATGCAGTGCAGTATTTTAAAGTGTTAAGAAAAGTTAGTGGTCATCATGCTATGCTTTTTTTTTTTTTCCCAGGTAAAGTTTTATTGCATCTGAAGATATGTTGTAATACATTTCATTAAAAAGAAAAGGTTAGAAAATCTTCTCCTGTTATTAATATAATATGAACAAAGTGGCCACCACTTATACACCAACATGGAGTTCTGCAGTCTGGGACTGGAGTTTACACTTCCCAGAGAAATTCGAATTATAATGAGAAAGATAATCCATCCCACTATGCAGTGACTGAGAAAGCTAAAGCTTCTCTGATGGCAAGGACAAGGGAGTGACCATGAACTTGTAGAGTCACTCCCAGAACCAGATCTTTTTATTTCACTGGTAAGGAAGAGGAAGCATCAGTGAAAACTACTAGGAGAAAATATCAGAGGTTATTATTCAAAACCTCCAAAATATATCAAAATGTTAATGAGATTCTCTAGTTTAATAGGCTGAAATTTTGTAGAGTTGTAAAATGCAGTAAAGACTGCAGAAATCCTGCATGGCAGAACTTGACAATTTTCTCTGCATAGCAAACCACTATTACCATTTTAAATTAATGTCACAATTCAGAACTTAAAACAAAAGAACAAACAATACTGGCTCAGTTATGTACAAATAAAAGTTGAAAACAAAGGAAAAACAGCTTCCCTAAGCTCCTTTCTGAAGCTGAGGTTTGAACTGTAACACTAGAAGTTGTAAGAAAGAATTATGTAAAACTCTGTCCAAGATACCGTTAAGATAAATTTCAAAAGCTTTGTTCTTATCCTGTATTGCTTACAATATTTTATACATATCTTTAAAAAAACCCAAAACCAACAGACAAGAAACCCCCAACAAAATCTATCACATGCACTTTAAGGAGATGATATTTTGTGTTAATTACAAAACTGAAAATATTACAATGCAGCTCCAGAGGCAGAAGTACCATAAAGTAACTGATGACCACTACAAGGAAAGAATACATCATTACTGATGCCTGACATAAAACTGATTTGTTGTTCTTACCTGCTTTACATAATCACACCAAGACATCCTTTTATTCATCTGAGCAAACAGTTACTGGTTCTTGTTTCTGTTTTGGACTGCCTTTTCCAGGACTGTCTTGTTAAAATACATGACATTAATACCAATTTTCACAGCGTGCTTTGATAGCCGCTGTCGTTCCACCTACTTGATCACTTCCAAATGAAACCATAGATATATTTCAAACTCGGGTTCATGTCAAATGCATTTCTGTAGGATTTATCTAGAAGTCAGTAATTTCAACCTTAGTATGTTGGACCAAACACTGTTTTGAGTAGCTCATGTCAGTACCAGCAGCTACCCAAAACTGCAGGTGATTCGGGACACAACATGGCATTTAAGTGAATACTTTTACACAAGCACCACAGTTCGACAGCCTTCTTCAAAAGCACAATGTTTCAGGAATATTTGAGGCCCAAAAGCGTCATAGTGTGCTTGAGTGCCACTTCCTCTACAAATCTTGCATTAACATGGTCTTGTTTTTCATATGGATGCACACCTAGAAAAACATGGGGGGAAAGTATTTACAAAATTGTACATGCTCCTATACACTTATAGTCCTGCAGTCTATTAAACTTCTTCATCTACAATAGATATCAAAAGATAAGGGCTAATAGACAGAACTGTGTTTTCATGTACGCAAAATACCCACAGCTTTCAGTGGTTTCTTTGGATGCCCGCCCATGGCAAGAACTGTCCCAGTAGTGGGATGTAAGTAAATTATACTCCCCACAGGGGGAAGCTAAACCATCTCTGGAAGCTGCTAGGGATTTCTAAACCAATTCTACACTGGAGATCCAAACCAAGATTAAAGCTCAATGGCTGTGTTAGTGCGTAAGATGGCTTAGGGCCCATGCTCTTATACTGCTACACGGTTTAACTTTTTCCTCCCCAAATGGACATACCCATACTTGGACAATCTTAATTTAGCCATCAGGTCCTTATCCTGAATTTATTTTCCTTACTGGTTACAGGCACAGCCAGTAATGCCTCCCCTAGTGCACCTTGCTTGTTCAGCAGAATTCAAAACCTCCAGGTGCTTCAGGATGAAGCAAAGATCCTCATCAGTGGGAACGGTGCTTCACAAAAATTAACAGCTTGGCAAGGAAAAATGTCTGGTACTTCAGAATACCTCTGAATGCAGGGATATGGGTACTCTTTTCTAAGGTGGAAGATCTGATTTTGGCTGCCTCTTGGCTACCAGAAGGAACATAAATAAGGACCAAACTGTTCTGTCCCCATTTGAACACACAATAGCTGCCACCATGCTATACACCAACCACATTTTACTACATGGGTTCTGAAAAATGCAGGTTTGCTATTTGGGTCCAACACAAAGAGGATCTGGATGAAAAGATACAGAGTGAAGAAGCCCCTTGCACTTCCCATCAGCAGAAAGACAACCAAAGCTTTGTGTTCAGACATCACTGGAGTTTTAGAACTAAGTTATAGTCAGGATACATCTGAGTGAGCATCAAAGGGTAATGAGTGCTGGTCTTCCAAAGTACAGAATTAACATTACCTTGATTCTCTATCTCTGTCAACATATTCGTCAGGTAGTTCAGTGGCAAAAACTCCACAGGGACTGAGAATCTCTCAGGGATAGACCTGGTGCACTGTAAGGGAGAACACTGCAGGTTGGCTCACCAAGTCACACAGCACCAAGTTTCAGTGTTTCTTCAGTGTGTTACAGTCTAAGAAATGCTCAGCAATCTCAAAACTGTAAAAGCACAAGTTGAAAAAAAAAAAAAAAAAAAGGCCTCTGTGGTCTTACCTGCCTGTTTCCCAGGTTCTCGAGCAAAAGCTTAACATATTTCCGTGCAATTAAATTCGCATTTATGGGATGATTCCAGAACTGGCGGACCTTTTGACCAAGAGCCTAGTAAGTAAAAAACAAAACCCCAAAATCTGAGAAGATAAAACACAGGACAGTGGAAACTTAGGAGGGGGAAAAGGAGGAAAAGACCTGAAACTGTATCCAGGTTGTAACACAGATGTTTTGCTTTCCCACACTGATGACAGAGGCCAAGATGGTGTTATGTGTAGCCATGGAGCCTTCCTTTCACAGCCAGTAACTAAGAAATTTCCGTATGTTCCCAAAATGTGTGAAACTGCTCAGCATTCAGCTCAATCAGTCTGTCCCAGTGCCACTGTCACACTTGGAATGTGTACTTAGATATCAACTGAGGCTTAAAATGACCACTTATCCTTTACTATGACTCTGGTTGGTATCTCTTCTTCCCCCAAAGAATAATGTAGATACCCCATTCCTCGAGGCTCCACTCAGGACAGGGCTTCTCTTAGGCTCAGTCTCAGGAATCTCACACAAGCCAAATGTCGACAAGGAGACATAGTGGGAACACAGTTAGGATCCCATTATTCAGGTCATCATCTGGGAAACTGATAACATTGACTCACATTCCCAGAGGCAAGAGATTCAAAACCAAGTTTCCCAAAGCTTCCAGTTCTAACCAACAAGCAAAGGAATAGGAACACACTGTGAAATCAGCTCCACCTTCTGCTCTTTTCCCTGTCTAGATCTTCCCCCCCTCCCTTTCAGCTGTACTGCAATACAGGTTTCTGCAGGAGTTTGAGTAAATGCTGCACAATTTCAATGGTGCTTAAATCCCTGCTTCTGATGGAACTGAAGTCATCTACTGAATGTAACCTGCCCAAAATAGTCTGAGTCACCCCAAAGTGACCTTTTTGGCAAACAAACTACTCCCTGCATTTTTTCCCAAAGCTGTAAATAGATACAATGAGGCACTGAGTCCACTGTGTGTAGCCAGCAGGACCCGTCCCCTGCAGCTCTCCCAGCTCAGCCTTCGTCAGAGCGCGGCTGGAATGGTGTTCCCCACCCACAGGCCCGGGGCTGACCCCAGCTCTCCAGCCCAGGCCCAGAACAAGACACAGAGGACAAAGAACATCCTGTGGAGTTCTCCTCCTCTACCCCTTCTCAAAAGTGCTGCCAAATAAAGAAGCCTTTGTTAGAGGAAAACCCAAGTGGCACTTCTGGCCATTTGAACTGTATTGTAACAGCCCATAATGAGCAAACAATGGACAACTTATGTCGAGAGAAGCCTGGCACTCCCCGAGGGGGATCCCTGGTGTTCCTCTGCCCACTGAGATGTTGTGCTTCCTCTGCAGTCCTGTGGTGTGCACTAAGAGCAAAAGGGGAGAAGTCCATCTCTCATTCTGCTGGAACTTTTTATGAACCACCAATAATTAGCTCTAACTAATTACTGTGTGGCTACAGAAGTCACTGATGGGTGAGGCTGAGAGATTTCACTGAGGGGAGATCTCCTATAATTCAGTTTCCTCCACAGAGCTGTGGTATGATCAGATTTTACAGCTTTTACTGTTCTGAACATATTTGATAAAGTGTATAGAAGCAAACGCAGAGGTCACAAGTGAGAAAGGCTCTGTGGATGCTAAAACTCCCCCACAAAACCCCCATAAAGCCCCTTTAAACCCCATTAAACCCTCGTTGCTTTATGCACACAAGTACTCAGCAGTCTTGTTGACTCCTGTAGGGCCATGGAGACACTGTAAAACACTAGGGACTAATCTATAATTTAAGTTATCAGGGTATCCTACAGCGAGGAGCAGCAGATAGAGAAACTGTGGATGTTCAGGTTATATTTGAATCAGGCTGTATTTGAATCACTGCCAAGTCTTCCATTGGCTTGATCCTACACACGAGGAGGAACTTCCTATCAATTCCAAAGTCGAAGAAATTACATCCAAAGTCATTAGTTACCTCAGGAAGCCTCATGACAATACTAAATTTCAGCTTTTCATTCTGTTCAGTGTCATCCAGATCTACAAGAGACAGGCAAAAAACCTAATCAAACAATCATTAACCACATAACAAACTTTCAACTGTCATTGAAAACATTCTGAATAAATATCACCCCTGAAATCAATGGAAAATTTCAATTCTCAATATCATCTGCAAACTCACAGATGATACACTTGATCCCCTTGTCCAGACTGCCCACAGAGATATGAAGCAGGCCTGGCCCCAACACTGAGCCCTGGGGAACCCCACTGGTGACATCAGCTGCCAGCTGGATGTAACTCCATTCCCCACAGCTCTCTGGGCCTGGCTGACCAGACAGATTTTACCCAGCAAACAGTGCACCTGTCCAGGCCATGAGCAGCCAGTTTCTCTGGGAGAATGATGTGGGAAATGGTGTCAAATATTTTACTAAAGTCCAGGTAGACAATACCCACAGCCTTTCCCTCATCCACTAAGTGTGTCACCAGGTCATAGAAGGAGACCAGGTTGGCCAAGCAGCACCTATCTTTCATAAACCTGTGCTGCCTGGGCCAGATCCCCTGGTTGCTCTGCACATGCCTTGGGGTAGCATTTGGGGTGATCTGCTCCATGACCTTCCCTGGCCATGGGGTCAGACTGACAGGCCTGTTCCTCTCGTTCCAAACAAAACTGAGGACTGGATAGCAAACCAAATTCCTCACCCATAGGTGTGCACTTTCATAGCGTCACACAAATTCCCCAATTCTATTATGACCTTTAGTGTTTGCTTTTCTAAGAAGTCCCAAGTGGAAAAGCTATAAACTCAAATTCTCTCCAAACAGATTTTAATTTGTGTACTATGAGAAAGCCAATCATGTAGTTTGAGCCCTTTCAGGTGGGCAACACCATCAGCTACAGCCCTCACTGAAACAACACTCTAAGGGGAGCTGAGTGTCCTGGGCAATAAATCCTGTGTCCGAGCTGAGTGGCTTGAAGGACAACACTCCCAGTTAGTTGGTTGCTAGCAAATGAAACACTTAATGCTCACTGTACCTTTCAGCAATTTCCTGACACACGTTTCTGTCAATTGCAAGACTCCAATATCAATGTAGTGCAGGAGGGTGTGCAGAGGGAGACAACGAACACCAAGACCCAAGTGCAGAGTGTGAAAACCTATGAGAGAGGCAAAGTTGTTTGATGCAATATGGGGCTTTTTTCCTAAGTCTCTATTAGAGACTGGCATTAATCTAGCTAAAGCCATCACTCCCCTTAATTTTTGATTGTTTCTAGTTGAAGAAATCAGTTTATCAAGACATTTATTCTTATTTAGCCATCTTTTGAGTCCTCTCAAGGACAATCCCATCAGAAAGAACAAAGTCAAAGGGACTGAAAACAGTCATCAAAGTCATACAGAGTCACTAAACATCTCCAAGCTGTTGCCTCATATCTGAATTATTTTATCAATTTGTCTTTTATATCTTTCTTTCCTCCTAATTAATCAAAACCTGAGGTCTCACCACCCTCAGTCTGTTGCTGCCACCCACACACTCCCACAGCCTCTGTTAACGACAGGCTTGTTATCATATGACATGACTGCATGGCAGCATTTGTGCCCAGATGGACTGATGGACAACTCATACCAAAAACAGTTTCAAAGACTGAAGACAGATCAGGAAATACAAACTAGGAAGAGTCAATAGGAATCAGAAAACATTAAGATGTTAAGAAGTCTTTCCCTCACAAAAATAAGCAAGTGCTTTGAAAAGGCCATAAGTGATTACATGGAGCTCTGGGAAGTCAAATTCTACTACCAAGACCAACTTTTCTGTCAAGCCTGGAGGTAATCCTTTCAGGATAAAACTGTAAAAATAATAGCAGAGCAACAGCATGAGAAAAAACACTCTTTTTGCTCCAGGGTAGGAATTTTCCCTTGTGGCTCTAGACACTGAACTCCCATTTCCTAAAAACATATAGAAATGAAAGGAGTCTAAATCTTAGTTCTAAGGTAAGGCTGAACCCAAGCACTCCACTGGAAACCTCTGTCTTGTCTTTGTTTCTGAAAACTATTTAGTTTTGCTTCATTTCACTTGCACATGTTTATCAAAGGCCTTCTCCTCTGTAACTGTCTTGACTAGATTTCAATACTGCCACAGCTAACTTGACACACGTTGCAACCAGTGCTCTCAAGGGAGGAATTTATTGCTCTCCTCAGTTATGATTGAAACAGCAAAACATAGGACTTACCAGGAGGTAAAGGCATGCACATGCCATTTGCTGCTTCCAGAATCCGACTCATGATGTGGAACACCGCAAACTCTCCTGCACTTCCTCTTTCATCACTGTAGTTAATGAAGGAGCAACATATTTAGAACCTGAGGTGCCCACACTCTGCTGGAGAGATGGTCAATTTGCTGTACTACATGTGCACTAAATGCCTGCATTTGGGGTGAAGTGCCAGGAGATGCTGCCTTCTTTACTGAGGTGTCTGTCACCCAACAGCACCAGCTGCCCAGTGCTGGCACACAGAGTTGCTCTGGTGTCCCCATCTCCTCCCCCCACTGCTGCATATTTGCAAATCTCTCAGCAGCACCTGGAACCAACAGCAACAGACGAAAGGGTGCTGGTGTAAGGGACTTGGCTTTTACAGGTGTTTAACACCCACTACCAGCTTAGGACAACTATAAACTCAGCAAGTTTGAACTCCAGCTGTAGAAATGTTTGGTTAATATAATTAAAAATATTTAATATTTAATAGTTAAAATAATTTAAACTAATTTAGAGAGGGCCAGCAGGATCATTAGGAACTATAGGTGACAGTCACATTGACATTCACAGCAGCAAAAGCACTGACTGTTCAAACCAGTGGTACTGTTGAAGACCAAATTCATTATGCCCGTATTTTAAAAGCCAAGCTGAAAACTTTAACAAATGACTTGCTTACAAGCAGAAGACACAGGAATGAAGCTGGTATCTCCTCCAAACTTCTTTCATTATTCGGTGTATCAGATTCAGCTAAAACAACAAAGAAAAGACTGGATGTTACCAGAAGCCTGTATACAGCAGGCCCTTGGCCTTCATTCATTTCACACACCAGTTTATGTTAAAATCTTCTCATGGGACTCCTACTTTTTTTTTTTTCCTAGGGGCTCAAAAGGTAAAGTTATTAAAATTTGAATTGTAACTGTATTGCAATATTCTAGAAGTTGGAGGTGCTTTTGGTTCATCAAAGCATTGTGCAAGACCTACAGCAACTTAGCACATGGTGCCTCTTGGAGATAACTCATCTCCTGCTTTTCCATCAAATTCTCAAAGAACCATTTACCACGGAAGCAAAACTTCACGTCCAAGTTGCTGAGCATTTTGCAAGGAACATTCCCAAGGGCTCAGCAAAAGTGGATGATGTTGAAGACAGTGGAATCCTCAGTTTGCCAGGAAAAGTCTGCAGGAGGAATCTCAAATCTAGTCCTGGCAAGCAGGAAGATGAGACAAGCAAATGCCTCTCCTCCTCTATTGAGTTTCCTTTTCGTCCACAGTGAGATAAAACAATCCCTTGGCCCATACTATTGCTTCTTTGTGCTCCCAAACTACAGACAGTCAGCACACCAAAGCCACAAGCCCCATTCTCACACTTGGGCCATCTCAGCTTCTGCAGCTGAAAGAGAAACCACACACGAAAGAGCTGAAATAACTTCCTCACAGCAGTCATGTGTAACCACTTCCATATCTCCCTAACACAACTGAGACACTTCCTCTGAGTCTTTTATCTCTGGCCCTCAAAGCACAGCAATCAATCAGTCCCAGGAAACTTTCAGGAAGCAAGTCCGACCCCTCTTCTGCAAAGAGGTGTCACGAGAAGTTACAAACCCTTTTCCCTGCTCCAGATGGTCATAATCCAGAAATCCTTTTTCCCTCATTGGCTTTGCCCTCTCCAATGTCTAACTTGTCACAGGCTCTGAGCAAGAGGGAAACGGGACACATGGGAGATGTTGACATGCAAAGGCCAGATCTGGAATATTGGTCTTCAGTGCTGCTCCTCAGTGTTCCTCTGCACCTTGGCCAGAAAGCTCTACAAGACAACACCTTGTCCCTCCACCACCACTTGAGCCAGGCTTACACAGCTACTTGATGCAAAATAACCACCTAATATTTTACATCTCTACACTTTCTAGATGCAGTGGAAAGATCCAGTTTAATCTTTCTGGAGTATAGCAAGTTTTCCAGGAAATGAGTGATTTCCAGTTTTCAGACAAGGGTCACAAGAACTGCACCTGCTGTTGGAATGACTTTCACCCCTGGCCAGCACACAGGGTACAGCTAAGGCCTCTGCATCATGAGCTGCAGCTGGATCTGAAGATAAGTGTTGAAGTGAAGGGAGGGTTCTTTCAAGCTTCAAAATCACCACTTATTATTTGTGCAACAAAAATGGTTTTCAGGAGAGGGATACTCCAGAATGAATATTTTTTTTCTTAGTATCATAGCACACTTTATGGTTTTCACAGGGTATAGAAAGCTAACAACTTCTTAAGTCATAGTCAACCTTGCTATCACAACATACTTGAATCTTAAATACATGCATGCTTGTGATGTGACACCTTTACCAACAGCATGACTTGCTTTGGAGATGAACATCTAGCATGGACATTGCAGAAAACACACACAGAAAGAGAAGTCACGTATCAAACTTCTTTGCACAATATAACACACAGGATAATGTTCATGAGAGAAAGGAAACATTATTTGTTTGATAGAGGGAGCACAGGCAGTTTTTGTCCAAGGTTAGCAGAGGTCTCTGGGGGAGCCAAGTTAAGAGCTACACCCATACCAGACAAGGCCATTTTTCATTGAGTAACAAGGACACGCAATATGAAGTTTTTTGGGGGAAGTACCAGAAGTCATCTGCCTTGGAGTGCTCTAAACGAATGAGAGAACATGTGACCAACAGTGAGACAGTGCATGCTGGAGGGTCTAGCCTGACAGTGCTGTCCTTGCTGCCTTGAAACATCTGTATTTCCAGGCAGTACTGCCTGTGGAACAAGGAGGGTGAAATTCCACTGAAGTAATTAGGAACCACAGGTGCTCATCTCCTGTGGCTGTTTCCATAGCAAAGACACAGGAGTAGCCAAAGAAAAGAATCAGGAGCAAAGGAGAAAAGGGAGTGAGACAAGGTCTTGCTGTCTTCCAGATTCCTCCTGCACAGGGGATATGACAATTCCTGCCGAGGAAACTCAAATCCAAATGGTGTCTGTCTTCTATTCGTCTGCAGCTGAGCCCACATCAGAAGGAAATGGCCACAGACATCAGAGGGAAAGGTGCAGCTACTGCAGTGATTGCAGACCAAGTGTATTCAGGTCTGCCTCTTTCCTGTGCCACAGGCTGCCTGTTCACCCTGCCTCCCCTGCTGCTTGCTGTCAGGACAGCAAATGTCACACTGCTTCTGTAAGTTATTTCTCCCCTTTCCTGCCTCACTGAAATGCAAAGAGTGAAAGAACAGATATGCAGTAAAGCCAAGATAAAGTAATTGCAGGAGAGAGAGAGAGACTATGGACACACAAAAACCAACTGCAGGCGAGTGGCATGTGGGATGGGAACCAGGCACACTCTGGTAAACAAGGAATTCCCACCAAGACATGCCAGTCACACTTCCCCACGTTACTTCTCTGTATACAGAACACCCAGCTCTCTGACAGCAACCAGCCCTTGTCTGTTGTTTTATGAAAAACTGTCAGTGCTCCCAGGTCTTGGCTACTCTGACTTCAGCTGTAACTGATTTATACAGTGACTACACACCACAGAGCCCTACTCTGAGCCACTGCCGGGCTCCTGAACATAATAAAAAAGTATTTTATGATGGCAAACAGACAGGCAAATAATTTCAAGTCTCTTCTGTTTCACTAGTTTCAATAGCTCAGCTAAATGCTGCTGATGCTACAAATAACTGTTGGAAGACTCAAACAAAGTCATTCCCTTGAAGAACTCAAACACTTAAGATACAGAAAGGTTTAAGATTTAATAGTTTCCAATTAAGATGAGGGAAAACCCCAGTTTAACAATGACATAATTTTAAAGTTTTCCAAGTAGTACCTAACATGCACCAGCCAGAGGGCAGAAGCAACTTTTAGAGACACATTATTACAGAATCACAGAATATTTTAAGTTGAAAGGGACCCACAGGGATCATCAAGTCCAGGCCTTAAGTGAGTGGACCATACAGAGATCAAACCCATGGCCTTGGTGTTATTATCACCATGCTGTAACCAACTGAGCTAATCTCAGGGTTATCTTTGTTTATAGTAGCTTTTCTAAGAATAAGCCTGTCAACTGAGTGGAGAGAATTCTTACTGTTAGTGACAATAAAAAAAATTAATCCTGAGAGTTCACTAATGGGCTGAGGTTTATCTTGCAAGGTTTAGTCTACAATAATTTAGTCTTGCAGATCAAGGTTGTATGGGTGTTTTCATTTTTTTTATCCTAAGTTTTTATTAAAAGCAAACAAACTATTACTAGAAACCGAATGAAAGAAGAATAAACATTCCACTTGTGCTTTTTCACTACCATTTTCAGGTACAAAGCTTTGGTTCATGTTGTACTGTTCCTGTTTTAATCAGCCACTGGTTTTTCCTTCTTTCCCACCCAGATACAGAAAAGCCTGCCAATCACCAGTGAAATAACTTGTCAAACTATGAAGTGAGGCCTGAAAAGTCAGTAATGGCAGTGAAGATGCAGCGGTTCAGAGACCCTCGTAAGACTGACAGCAGAGCTGACTTGCACAGGCCTTCTGAAGAGATGCAGGCATCAGCAGCCTCAAGAAAGTTTCCCAAGGTTCCCATTCCCAGAAAATAGCACAGTGGGGAGTTTCTATTGAACACTGTGGCAGGGCTTGCACGAAGAACAGGATTTAGTAGTTGCCACAGGAGCTTTTGTGAACTGTGTTCTGTGCTTAGAGGACGTGATGTCGAGACAAACAAAACCAGGTACAATAATTTCTGTGCACAGCAGTCACAGGTTTCAGAGTTGTGGTTTTTTTTTAAGTTTCTTTTAAGAGGAGGAAAGACAGAAAAATTGTCACTGTACTTTACACAGATCCCTTAATGCAAAACTCTGTCTCCTGTCACACAAAAAGCCCAGTGAAGGCAGTATGTAGCAGTGGTGATGCTTTACCCATATTGTAGTGTCATATTGCAGTGAAATCCTTTTTTAATCAATTTTTATTTCCCCTGGTGGCACCTCTATTATTCAGGACTTGCAGTTAGGAAACTAAATGGATCTAATGATCATTCTTTGAACTTTTAGGATGAGTTCCCATTTTCATTTCTGAGAGTAGAGCATATTTGTACAAGCTGTAAAGAGAACAGTTTTTTCTGTATTCTGAGTAACCAGTATAACTCTTTTAAAAATACTTAAATATATATAATGCATTTCCTTTATCAATATACACAATATTAAGCTGAAAAATATGTTTAAATATCTTAAAAACAACCTTCTCCCATCTAATATATACATGTATATACAAATCCTACATACCCAAGGATCTACCATCCAACAAATGCATGCTTACTCAAAACAGTGATTATGAAATCCAACTAACCAGGTTTGCAACGTAATCCAAAACTATTTGGTCAATCTTTTTTTTTCCTACATACTGTAGATGTCTCATAAGGTGATCCTTTAGCTGAGCAACCATCTAGAAAAAAAAAAAAAAGGCAACAATTCAGTGTCCTTGAGCATCTTCAAAGAGATACAAAAGCAGCAGCAGGTGCAGGGCCACATCAATAGGCATTGACTCAACAAAATGTTTCTGCATTACAAAACTCCAGTTCAGAGTGAGATCCCAAGCTACTGTTCCATCTTGCTAAACTCAACAGCAAATGAGAATATTCTAGACGGTTACTTGGTGCAAATTTGGCAAAATGAGTGCTAGGTTGAACTCTCAGTGACACTGAAGAGAAAAAGCTTACAGTTCTTACATCTCTCTGTGTCAAGCCAAGTGAACAGGGTGAAAGAAGGATTTAAATATGAGCATTGGCTCCTGAGAATCTAAGTATTACATAAAATCTCTCAGGGAAAATGAGCTCAAGTACAGTTTGTGGTAGTAGCCAAGAACCGGAGAACCAGAGTGATTAATGGCAATTTCAGGTTAAACATTAATTGTAAAGTCTTTAAAATTGGGTGTTTGTTATCATACAGTTCATGCCACTCCCTACCCTCTCCTTTCTGAAATATTTGCTGACCTCACATGGCTTCAGATTGCAACTCAAGTCCATGCTGGCTCTTGCTGAGAATTACTAAGAAGCATTATTTGTTTCAAAGCTCAGAGTAAAGCTGGAGCACATAAAAATCTCTGTCTCAAGGAATTTACATGTAGATTCATCTCAAATGTATCAAGACAGCAATACAGGTATGAGGAAGGCATAGACAAAGGACAGCAGTGACCTGCTTTTTGGATCTGTCTGAATAAACAGCAGGGCAGGAACGCAGAGAAGCTTCAGAGAATGAGAGGCAAGACTTGGAAACAAGGTGACAAGACTGAAAAGAAGGAAAAATTGCCTCAGATGAACAGGCAGGACAGTGTTGATACGCTCTTCACAGATGCAGTGCTGAGACCTTCCAGTGCATGCTGAAGAGTTTCATTTGGGTTTAATAGTAAGAGAAAAAGAAATAAGTAAAAATGTGTATTTAGGCAGAGGTAGGATAGGTAGGGGTTTGAGACAGGATATATTGCCCATAAGCACACAAATGGTAGATCCTTTACAGAGAGCACTGCAGAAAACAGTGCAGAAGATGAAGCAGTCCCAGCAGTGAAGTAGAAAGAAAAGGAGACAGTATAAAAAGCTGTTAAATTGAGGAGCAAGAAGATCTCCAATCTTCAATGTTTTAAAGATGTAAAATAGTCCAAAAAGAACTGACAGATTAAGATGAACTCCAGGAAGACAGAATAGCAGTTTCCAGCTGAAATTGTATTGGGAAAAAGCATTTTGACAAATCAACTTTCCATTGCTATTTTTCCCCTATGCCTTATGATGACCTTTAAGATGATATCATAACTTATGAACTCTAAAACTTAGGAACTATGTTTGCCCCATAGCTACTCTGGGTGAGATTGAACTCAGCACTGGAACTTAGAAGCTCACTCTTAATATATTAGTGGAGGTTGTGCGTCCCCTAGTGCACACTGATGAGCACATACCAGTCCCATCAGTAATTGCTGCTGATAATCCTCCTCTTCAAAGAGAGGGACCAGCCTCGCCTCTGGAATAAACAGAGCAACAATCATTCAAGGACACGACACTACAGAAATACCACGAGACTTCAACCAGCTTCAAAAGTACTTAGGAACACACACAAACAAACAGAAGTTGTGGTTTGATCTACTCAGCTACAGAACTAAGATAGTGGAGAATCATGGACTGCATAAGAGAACTGAGAAATGGAAAAATCACCCTTTATCTGCTCTCTTCTTCCTCTTTCCTTTGATATTTAAGAGTTGTCACAGTGTGGTGACTCAAGAGAGCAAAGAGGCACAGAGAACCTTCTGGTAACACCAGTGCAAGTGCATGTGCTATTTAGATCTCGTCATTTACAAACAAACAAGCTCAAACAGCTGCATGGGTTTTCCAAGGAAATGGCTAGACAGGAAGGAAATACTCCAGGGAATCACATCCCACTTTCCTGGTTCTCTCTCATGGTGTGGCTCCTGTTACTCAGATTTGCAGACCATTATGAAAAGAACACAATTTTCTAAATAAATGGAAGGAGGTTATAGCATCTACTACAATTAATAACCTGTATTTCCTAATCAGTGCTTCCTGTCTACGAACAGCAAAGGAAGAAAAACAATCTCCTATTTCATCATGTAGCATGAAACCAAGTCAACATTTTACAGCATCAAGCACTAATTTTTTACAAATTTTCAGCTATTTTTGCTCACCTTGAAATATAATTACTTCACCACTTAGCAGTACAAAGACCTGTGCTGCTTGATTTTAAGGGACTTGAGGACAAATCTACAGGGAAGACACACTATACTGATGCTTGTTACTAGCTGGCAGCTATTTAGAAATTCTTTATTAACAGTTAAACATCTGACTGCTTCATCAATAAGCACCTCTGAAAGCACGAAGCTGAGACTCACTGAGTTGATACAAGGCCCCTTAAAGTCAGAGCCCACTGCAATAACTCGCAGTGGCACAGATGACTGGTGTTAGGGGCTAGAAATGAGTGCACTGAAAATTCATGGTAATAAAAGGTGAGAGCAGCACTTAGATCAGCATCGTTTCCCAGCACACAGTGGCAGGGCACACAGGAGGCACTGATGTGTGAAGAGCAGAAACACAGTTCACTACTAAATTCAGTTTTACTTATTTGTGACAGAGGAACTGAGCATGACAAAATCTCAGGTGCTGCTGGCCTAGGGAAATTAATTACATCTGCCTTCTCTACACCATGATTTTTCACCAGCTCTAATCTCCTGCACAAGTTCTGACTGTTGCAAAGTCAGTTGTAAGCAAACAAAACCTCAGCAGTAACATGGTGTCACTGAAGGAGAAAATCCTTAGGCAGGCAAAGTTTTACTGCTTATCTTGTTAGATCCAATATGAAGTTGGAACTTTATTTTCAAGCATTTCCTAGTCAGTACACGAAAGTTTTCTTCCAACTTAATAACTGCTTATCTTAACTCCTCAAACTCTTCTGTGCTGAAAACACATACAGCAATTTATTCTTAGCAAACAACAGCTAGATGGAAATACTAAAACAAACCTTACAGCTAAGGCCTACATCAAGACAAGTTTTACTTACCAGAGTCCCAAGTGTCTAGATGAGAAAGCACCCTGGGGTTTGAAACAAAAATCAGTGTCTTTCATATGCATTACTCTACAGGATTTCATAAGGTCATAAGAACACTTAAATGAATCTTTGATCTTTCAAAGACAGATAAAGAAAAATGAGAACAGTACATGTGAGTACATTTAGTAAAAATATTAAATAGCATTAAAAAAATTATATCTGTCTAGGTTGTATAAGAATAACTCTTCATATCTATTATAAATTCCCTAGCTCTAGAAGCCTGTGTGTATTTCAGATCATCTCATAGTGATTACAAGGACTCCAATAATTGATTTTCACCTGGATAATCTTCCTTAAAGGTATCTATTCAGATACCTAACCAACTAATGAAATTACTCACTAAATCCTCCAACATTCTTGCACAAAGTAAGAAAGGGTAAATACAACAGAAACCAGTACTTACTTTTTGGCATTTTCAAAAATATTCCTCAAATATGCTGTGGTTCTTCTCTCTTCCCTCTGGTTTGTAAACAAACAAAAGTCCACAAATGAACAAAGCAGAAGACCAACTAAAATGCTCCCTGACAGAATGCAGATGAGAAATTGAGCTATTTTTCCCTTTGAATGGAAATAATGCACAGTGGAACTTGAACCCACCTTCCAACTATCCACGCTCACAGGCACTCACACACATCTAACCCACATGACAATATAGTGCAAGCTCTGCTTTTGTTTAATTTCTTGCTTTATTTTTAGAGAGTCAAATTTTTAGAGAGTCAGTTTTTAGAGACAGCTCTGGAGGCTGGTTCAGTGCATACATACACACTCACCTCTTCTGAAAGGCTACGCCATTCCCTCCTGAGCACATTATTGTGGTAGTGCAAGTGGGGCTCTGCATACTTCACAGTCTCCAAGTTTGAGTTGAGTTTCTCCCAGAAGCCTTTGGGGTTTTGGAACTGCAAAGTATTGCAGGGAAATCGTGAACACAGGCTGCACTCGTAAAGAATCATCACCCTCTCACTAAGTGACTGCAAAGACATGTGATTAATGTAGCTTCAGACCAATCTAAGTGAAAAAAGTTAAACCAAAGCAGCTAAACTTTCTCTTGATTCATGGCAGGGGTAGCACTTACTTAAACTTGAGGTCAAGACTTGGTGCCTTTAGTGTAGATACTTTGCCACCTCAGTATCCTTTTAAGTCACTGGGAAGGAATGAGTACTTCTGTATCATAATTCATCTGACCCATTTCACAAGTTTGGGATGGGAAGAACTGCACCACAGACTACACTGGTCATATTGTCTAGAGTTCCTCTGACTGTAAAAGGAGCCTTAGGCAACTAACATAGATATAAATGTTTACATTTGGTCAAATAAATCCCATTCTGGGTTTGTGGTAGTTCCAAATAGAGGAATACCACCGTGGCCCTGACAGCTGCAGGCTGCCACTATTTTCAAGCTGCATTAATATTTAGATTGCTAACATCCATTTACCATCCTCAAAATTAGTGCCTCATCCCAGAAAAGAAATAAAATCCAAACATTCCCATATCAATTCTAAAGCATTTGACTCTAATGCTAAAATTAATTTAAACTCAGCTGTGAACAGACAGGATGAAAAAAAACCAAACAAAACCACACTGGTTTCCTGAGCTAGTTCTTGGACTGGGTATAAAGATTTAAAGCTGTTGTTTATAAAGGGGGGGGAGATGTGATCATCACTGAGGAAGAGATGAGATTAAGGCAAATTTTTTTGGCAGTTTAAAAAAAACAAGAGATGGTACTATCTGTTCTTGCCCCTCTTCCAAGTACCTCTCAATACAGACACTACAGTAGCAACATTTAAATAAAGACAAGATTGAGTTCACAGGATTTCTCCATCTTGCATTAACATGTTGGATGTTCCTCTCTCCCCTCTACTTTTCTGCAGTGACAATAACTTTAAAAGAAAACCTCAGAAGGAAGAAACCACTTCCTACTATAAACTACAATTTGTCAAGGAAAATAAATTCCAAAGACTCAATCTGGCCAGCCACTTTCCTCTTGCTGCCAGTGCCTATTGTTACTTTATTACTGTAGCTGCAGTAGAGAAAAATAAATCTCGGGTTTTGCTTCATGTTAAGTTATATTTAGCAGCTGCAAACTAGGAGTGTATACGGTACCATATGTTCCCTCTGCTGGAGCTGACTTATGAGATCTACACTCTTACAATCTTATGAGATTCTAGTACTGCAGGATGTTGCCTAAATGTTACCAATATGAAACCTGAGAACTATCAAATACAGCAAAAGGGTATCATCTAGTGACCGATCCATGCAACTGCGACAGCACCACCGCTGCAAAACTCTCTTCAGGCCATACTGAACTTGCTTTGGTATGTGGTGGTGAGAAGCAAGACAGCAATTTTCTTTCATGTACTAAATCTGTAACAGGAAGTGGTAGACTTCAGTGGTGTCTGCTTTTAATTCTGAAAGCCTGCATTGCATTAGATCTAATTAAAAAGTCAAAAGTTTAAAATAAAGGATTTTTTTAATTATAGTTGTTTCTTGAGGAACATCAGAGCAAGGACTAGAAAGAGAAGGCTTCCTCTTCTTAGGCTTTTATTTTGCAGGCATTTCTAGAGTCAAGAATACATACCTAAGCATGTGTCTCCCCAGCAGTGACAGAATTCAGAGAGCTGTGTAACAAACTGTGCAGCTGCTCAGGCAACTACTCCTTAAAACACCACTCTGCACCCCAGTGGCTCAGGGCAGCCTGCAGGAGAGGCTGTCTCTTCCTTGCTTTGACAACTTCTTGCACTTTACATTCTCTGTTCTCCTGGACCTCCTCCTATTTTATTTTATTTTCTTTCCTTCTTCCTCCCACCCTTTCCTTCTCCCTTTCTGATCAAGCCTGTTTGCACCCCTTCAAGTTTGGTTTGTGTTTATAAAGGTGGGGGGGAGGCGGAAATCAGATTTATTAATTGCAATCCTTATGTAAAGCCTTTTGACAGTTGGACTGACCGTTCCCCGTTTCTCCCAGACTCTCTCAATATATCTTGCTGAACAGGAATTTAGTGATAAAAACACAACTGATATCCAAATTTTTTTGTGAACATGGACATAGTCTTCCCAAAGGCTCTCAACAACTCATAGGCTCGAAAACGCCAGAAAAACTTCTCAAAATAACAATTCACCATTCTGTCTGTGAAATGCCATAAAATGTCTGCAGAAGAAATACTACCTGTAGGACCAGATCTATCACCAGGGTCTGACTCCTGATACCAACAACATGCACCAACTGAAACACCAACTGACCACTTGAACTTGAGCCATGGTGGGTTTGTGACACTGAAGTGGTACAAAGCAGTCAGAGCACTAAACCTTAACCTGTGTATTACCATCTTTGTCCTCATGCAAGAGTCAGAGTAAATGCAGTCAAAAGTAGCAGGAAATATTTGTCATTAGTTCAACTCTGACCTTTTCAATCTGTTTAGGTTTCAGACAGAAATAGGAAATGAGTTCCACAATCAGGAAGTATAGCTGCTAAAGGCATGTGTCCCCAGGGGCTTGAGGTTCAATCTCAGACAAATTAAAGGCCTGCTAACTTTGACCTCAGTGAATTACACGGATTATCTGGCAACAAATTTTCTCAAGATCTGATTTTCCCAGGTGTCCCAGCTCTCAGGGCAACCTCCCCAATCAAAGCATGCGAAGCCTGATTTCCTGACAGGAACCAGGAACCTCACGAATTTGTGCAGCACAGCTGTAATGCACTGCTGCAGAGTGAGCAAGCAGTGGACTATTTCACTGACTTTTAAAAAATTTTGTGAAGGGTGAAGCTTTATGACTAATTATAAGCACTGGGAAAGAAACAGACTCTCACCTCTTTAAAGACTGAACAAATATTGTCATGTATCCAGAGTTTAATCCCATGTGTTGCTGGTACTACTGTGTCTAAACTTTTAACTCCTCCCATTAGCTCTCCACAACAAACTGCTTATTAAAATTTCAGATTTTGTACAGGAATACTTAGGAAAATTTCATGTACCTCTATAAACTGGAGCTGAGGGAGTGGAATGGGAAGACGGGAAGAATCATTCATGTTGTTTTCAACGGAAAGTACAATTTCCTACCCAAACAGTGTGTGCTCTCCCCATCCAGCTCATTGCCTTTTCCAGGCTGTGCAGGAATTTGTCTAGATTTAGTAGCCAAAGCCCTGACATCAGTGCAATCACAGGATGCTCCAGACAAAACAAAGTGAGAGGGTCACAAACCATTCATACCAATGGCAGCACAACGAAAAATCCCTCAAAGTGGGCACAGAAATCCTGTGTGTCTGTTATGTCAATGGCAACTCTGCCTTCAGCTACCAAAGTCACAAAATGAAGTGGTATCAATCAGATCTAACAAGATTAATTCTTGGAGAATCCTCCCTGTTGAATAGAAGTGTCTTCAGAAAGGGAATTAAAAATACATCTTTGAGCTAGCAAGCATCAGACTGAATAACTGATATTTTAGTAAATGCATAGGGCAATTTTCTGTTCATACCTTATTTTGGATAGGGCTGCAGGGACACTGCTTCATTAGTATTTAGCACACCCCTCTCCCACAAAAATAGCAGCTCCTAATCTGCAAATAAAAAATGGTTTTGTACTGGAACTTACCTCTAACACAGGTAGGGAAATAATGTCTGTTGCACATATTACTCCAGGGACAACCTAGAAATATGGACAAATTATTTACAGTCTTATAATTTGGCATAGAACATGGGCCTGTTTGGGATCTGGTGAATCTCTACTATCCATTTCCTCTGTGAAAGTAACTAGCTAGCCAAAACCATAACCTCATTTTAAAAAAGACAACATATTAGAACAGTGTCTGGTCAAAGAAATTAAAATATGCTATTTGCTCTAACTGTAAAGTCTTGTCTGAAGTTATTTTATATACTTCTGCAAGCTTACTCATAAATCTTAACTCTACTGATACTGTTTGTCTTGGAAATATCTGCATGATTTTGCTGTTAAATGTATTCTGTATCCATTATAAACCTCATATGATACAGAATAAATTAATACTTCATTATGAAAACTGAGATATTTAATCATCCATTTGATTATAGCAGCTGTTCTTGTTTTATAAATGCTTTGGTTGCAAAAAACCTTACTTATGGAAAACACCACAAAGGGTAAGACTTGGCAAACTGTAACAGGCATAAAGCACAGATATTGATTTAGAGCATATCTATGAAAAGGTAAGACACACAAGTTAAAAGCCATATTAAAGGAGAAAAAACAGACCCTCTAGCTATCAGTTAAAGCACCAGCTGTTATCTTACCCCAATCCAGTCAAGCAATGATGTGTAGGGCAAAAGTTTATCCAGGTTTTGAGTTTCTGGACACATTCTGCAGTACAGGGAGGCTGAATGCAATGTAAAAACACTTATAAGGGCAAGATTGTATGAACTATCAGTTAACAAGAGTAGGCTTCATAGTTCATTATCTGACACTTTTTTTGGGACAAATCCTGCTGCTGCACTGAAACAGCTTCCTCCATGGTGGAACTGGTCCCATTCTGTGCACAAAAGGAGGAAGAGAAGTCCAGATGGCTGCAGGGCTGGGTCAGCTGCTTGGCTACAGCTCAGCACTGCAGGGGTCCTTTGTACAAAGACTATGCACTGGATAGACTGAGGAGTCAGCTACTACAAGAGAATATCATGATATGCCAAATCTTTATGAAAAAATGGTTTGAGTTAGGCTAGAGGAGATTTGTTCCTCAGCTCTGGTCTCTGGAGACCTAAAACAATGATAAATCCATTTGTCCCATTAGAGGGAAGAAGAATGTATTTGAAAAGTTTTACTGCCACTCTGATTTTGAAATATCTGTATATCTTCTAAACTACTGACATTGTCTCTGAACACCATAAAATGCAGGTCGGTTAACATAAATCATAATCAAAAATTTTGGAAATAAGAGAGTTTGTAACATCGTGACTTCTCCTTCAGTGACAACTAGAGCATGCAGGAAAACTCAGAATGCAGGAAAAAAAATACCTACCAATGATAAATTCTTGAATGGCGTCAAAAGAATGACATGTCGACATGTTCTCAGAAATCCACCGAATAATCTGTCAGAATGAGAAGAGGGAGTTTGTCCCTTTGAGAATATGTTGTAAGAGGCTATAAAACTTTGGGTTTGGTAATAACACTTGTCACGAAATAGTGATGTAGATACAAGTGGTTTTCAGGACAGCCTAGACCAGTAAAGGGGTTTAGGGCAGCCCAGCTGATGAGCCTCCTGGTACGGCCAAAAGGTCCACGTGAATCAGGACCTTTCTTTGATATCATTCATGCCCTGACCCTGCTTCACGTAACCATCAGTCACTGAAAACAAAATTAGAGGAGGCTCTTTTCCCACCTGCATTTCCAAATCTTCTGTGTGCTGGAAGTAGAGCAGGGCACAATGCAGAGCTGCCAATCTCTCACTGTCTCGTTTGCTCCTCTGTAGGAGCTGCAGCAAGGTACTGTCACTGATGCTCACAGCATACAGACTCCCTGCTTTGCAATCCAAAACTGTTGACACGAGTGGGGATCGGATGGAACAGTTTTGTAACGTGTCAATTCTTGCATCCTCACCTGAAGAACATTGGTTTGAGAACAAAAAGGAGTAAGAACATAAAATTCAGCTGTTACCAGTATTTCTCTTAAGACTCCTAGCAGTAAGAAACAGTCTGCCTCTTGCACTAGCTGCCCTGGTATTTTTATGCTGAAGAAGAGGAGAAATAGTGCTGTCTGGATACAGGAAGTGGATAAGGAGTGCAGTCCATACTCAGTTCTCTCCCTCCCTACTGCTCACACAGAGAAGGTGCACAGATTCAAGGCTCACAGTGCTGTCTTGAGGCAAAGCAGAGTACATGTGATGGAACAGAGAAGGGCACAAGGCCAGCAGTACAAGTTCAGCACTGGAATTAGCACCTATTGGTACAGTTGGTACAGTTCAGAACTGCTCACAGGCAGAATCATGATACAAACTTGTACTCTCGGATCTCTTGCCATCAATCACAGTGGCCAGAACAGGAAGGTTCTGCCTTGTGATTACTCACCGAAGCATCAGACCAAAACCACTTTATTTATGTTAGTACTAAGGTTCACCACCATGGTATTGTACAGGTACCATATTTCAGACCCTTTCCATCAGGGGGATCAGGCCCACCACACAACAGTGATGCTTCCCACTCGTTTTTAGCAGAACAGGATTTCATTATCCATATAAAACAGGTATTAGTTTCCTGTGATGCCGCCCCTGCACCAGTTTCCACAGTCTCCTTCACCCAATCAGAACAACAGATTTCTGTTTTCAAACAAAGGCACCCCACTTCCAAAAATAAACCACTTCCCATAAGGACATGTTTATTGGAAATGGAATAATGTGCCTCTCAGATGAGACTCTAAATTTAATTGCATCAGCCTGATCAGGTGAAGGAAACACAGATTTCCTCTCTCCACACCCTCCAAACACACACATTTAGAGAACTCAATTGGAGGAAGGAAATGTAAAATCAAATTTACATCTCCATGTGAAATTTGAGAACAGTGAAGGACCAAGAACCATGTGCAAAGATGGGGGAAGGGAAACTATGAAACCAAGGCAGAGAACTTCAAATTCAGTGAAAGGTCTTCTACCATTTCATAATAAGCTAGAAATCTGTAATACATGAAGTATGAAATGTCACTTCATCTTTTCTTTCTAAAATGGAAAGTGGCAAAAATGCCATTCTTATTTTTTCAGTACCCCTCCTTCTTCAGAACACTGTGCAATAAAGGAAACATTGAGAAATACAATTTTCATGTAGACATTTGAACAAATTTCCACAACCACAATAAAATTTATTTCAAGCAGCAGTCTTACTATACCTGTCAGAAATAAACTATGGCACAGCAGGTCAGGATGTCGGATATTCAGGAGGTGCAGGAACTGGCCAGGCAAATAAGCAGCCACATAATAGTCTATTTAAAGAAACAACAGTGGTCAGTTTAGCACTTGATCCCTTATTTGCTTTAAGAGGCTGTTTCACATGATTCTCATCTTGGCCCAGTTCTCTGTGGTAGAATTGATTATATCTAGGAAGTATAAAAGGAGTTAATTAAAAGCTGCTGTTGTATTAACACAGGAAACACTAGTGGTACATTTGGGTTTCCAGGGGTGGATTCAAGAGACTTGAGACACTCAAGCACTCAGCAGCTGATGTCCAGAGCAGATTCCGAGGCAATTTCAGAGGAAGCTGCTAACCAATAGTGAGGTGTCACGATACCAAATGCCAAATATAAAAGTTAAGCAGAAAAAAAGCAGTAAAATAACATAAGTACTTAAAGTCAAGAAAAAAAATCCATTCCTTCTAGAGAAGGGTTAGTGATTTGTCTTCCTACCAGGGACAGAGAATGGCAATCACACAGGGAAGTAACCCAAGTAACCTACCAAGATTCATAAAAGCCACTTCCTTCAATTGATGAGATTCTGTTCTTTCTAGAGAAACCGTAAAAGTTTTGTTGTAACCTGGGGAAAAATAATAATACTTTCAAAAACTCCAAACAATAAACACCATTTGTTACAACCCAGCTTTATAGCTGGAAACTTCATCAGTGCCAATACACCCAAACAAGGATATTTGAGACTGTCTTATGAGGTTGTCCACCCGAGATTTACTTCATCCTAAACAGAGTTGCTGCACACTTAGTAAACTTGTACCTACACAATGCAGTTCTTTACTGTGTGAAAACTAGCCATGCACTGCACAGCCTATGTTTGGGTTTAAAGAAACATTCCATCCCAGGGCAAGCTTGGGTAAAAATACCTTTCCTCAAAAAAAAAAAAAAAAACCCCAACACAAATCCTCTATATAAGTTGTGCTTCACATTTTGGTGATCTTTCAACTCCTCTAAAGAATTCCCAGTTTGTTTATCTGCATGCCCCATTGCTCTAATTTAGTTCAGCTCAGTTTAAACATAGGCCAGTGTCAGACCTGCTGTGTTTGCATGGGCTTTGCATCAGCACAGCTGTTGTTTTATTCCAGACTTGTACCACACTTCTTCTGGCACCCAGCAAGAATGACACAAAGCCCTCAAACTTCCTCTGTCTCTGAGAAAAACTGAAGATTAAATAATGGTGTCATGATCAGGATGTTACTTAATGGTGCAGGAAAATTCAATATAAAATCCACAGTTTACAGGACCACCAAGGAAAAAAAGCTGCCCATGAGCTGCATTTCAGTCACTCATCCAGGAAATTACTTCCTGACCCTAGCAGAGAAATGTGCTCAATATATGCTGCTAAAAGAGAAAAAAAGAGCCCTCCAAGACCAACAGCACCATCAGAGATGAAGGGGTATCAAACAAATAATTTTTCACACAAAATACTGACCGAAGTTTGCTTGCAACGAGTCAGTATACTCATTATCACCACTTTGTTACCTGCCTCAAGTGCATGCAAGCTAATATCGGCACTGCAGGATAGAACTGCAACAGCACAACTCCCCTGTTCATGCTGCAGTGACGGCTTTAACAGGGATGGGAAATTTCCAGATGAGTTCACAGATGCTGCAGAACAAACTGAACTCCCTATGTATCTCCAAAATATGGCTTATGGACCCAATATACCACTGCTTCTGTGGATCACTGCAGGACCAGTCTTAAAAGCCTCTTGTATGACCGACCAATCTTACATGAACCCACAAACAGCTCTGCACCAAACAGCTCCATCCATGGAGGTCATTTCAGACTTAGCTACTCAATGTAACCATATTTATCCTCAGTTTCTTCCTAGTACAGATCAGGATGTACAAGGGCTGTGGTTGGCTCCAAGCAATGCAACCAGCCGGCTACACACCAAGCACATCTGGGAAAATCAGCCCTTCACAGCTGTGCCATGTACAGTGTGCCACACCCAAAAAGGACTTTTCCAATTTGTTAATACCTTCAAGAACACAGAAATGTAGTTCATTCCATCCCAAAATGTTCCAGCAGCAAAGCAACGTGTCAGTGCTGTTCTGACATAAAGTATCCTGACACAAGAAAGCAAACACCTAAGGTAGGACAGAGCTATCTTGTCCTCTTGAACACAGTTATTCCGTACTAGGCAGCTTCTCAACTGAGAAATAATTCGCCTCTCTCATCCATGTATCAAATGAGAAAATCTTGCTAACAACAAGTTTTATTCTGCTCAGAATCAAGCCGTGGTTTTTATTATTTTAAAACAAAGAAAGGTCTTAACTTTAGGAGCTAGAGCACCACTTACACAGCAACTATTCTTAGAATCAGTGGGTGTTGCACCTCTTGCTGTGAAAATGACATGTTAAACTGGAACTCTAAACAGATATTCAAGCTAAGAGCTGTTGGCTCTATTTCCCATACAAATGCCTTATGGCAGAAGTACAACACACCTGCAAGCTCCCACAGATTTCATTGATGTCTGTGCTCAGCACGCCGGAAAGTCTGGCTAGAAATAAGGGACCAAATTATTAAGCATTTACAAGGCCACTGGTTTGAAGCTACTCATTCAGCATCAGGCAGGAAGTCTACAGCAGGAAAGTCAACTTTGCAGCTAAAGGCAGCTGCTGTCTTTAAACACCAGCCACAGTAGTTTATTGTCTGCAGACTCTGGTAGTTATTTGTTTTGAAAGGCATTCTGTGACTCTTTCAGCACAGTGACATTCTCCAAAACAAAGCATAGTAAGTTAACAGGTTAATCTTACCTTTATGTAAAAAATATATGGAGTACATGATTTCATCAGGAGTATCAGAGGCTAGACTACAACACACACACAAGCCTCCTAAAAAGACAAAATAAGAAAAGTGATTTGTCCACCTGAATATCTAGACTATCTTTATACTGCACAAAACTAAAGCATGACTGTTTCAAATTAGAAACTAAAAATAATCTCTCAAAAAAGATAAAGACTACAGAAATATCTATTATGTACTTCTAACCATCATTTAGCTAACAAAACACAAAATCAACAAAGAAAAGAGGAGTCAGTCTGGCACAATAGAAACCTGGGTCCTGACATTGCCAGTTCTTCCATTTAGGAGAAGTACATTTTAGCCCTTCCCAGTAGAAATCATGCTTGCAGCCAGAAAACTGATCAAACCTTTATCTCCACAGACTGCCTAAATCCAGATATTTTCTGTTCAGGGGCTGTCAAATACTCTCAGAACAACGTAGTAAAACACAGTTTGTTTGCTTTTCAAGTCATTTCATACTGGCAGCAGCATGACAGACTGCTAGAGCTTTCTTACACCAGAAATGATTGTCACTTCTCCCCTTTCCAGCCCAAAGAAATGTTAATTCCTTCTCTAGGAGAAAAGTCAGTCCTTGGTACAAGCTTATTTCAGGCAAGGTACTGTGTACAGGAGCGCTCTCTGCTCCCACCTTAATTCTACATCAGACTGATCCTGTTTTGACCCTCCTGGATGGCAGCCCTGCCTCCACCTCTTACAAAAACTTCATCCGCTTACTCTGATGCTTTGGCACTCATGTTAGAAACAACTTCCAAACCACATTATCCCAGTACAGTTGGGAAAGCTTGGCCACAACTATGACCACTCATCTTTTTCATTTACTGAAAATTTATCACTTAAAAAAAAAAAAAAAGTAATACTAATACAGATACTGTTCTGTAAAAAAAAAAAAAAAAAAAAGGCTATGTATACAAGGTATACAGAAAATGGCACAGTACAGAAAAAGCACAAGTACAAAAAAAAAAAAACCAGCTACCAAGATATTTTATTTGATTTAAGGCCTCGTTTTTCACACCCCAAAGCTGTACCATAGCTGTGACACGGATATGGCTGAGACAGTTCACACTTCCGCCTTCTGGGGAAGGTAAATACTTTCTTCAGATATAATTTTTCTTTCTGCTTATTCTTAGCTGACTGAATATTGTCTGATACAGTTTTGCTTGGATATTTGAGTCATTCAGACAACAGACAGGGCATTTTGCCAGAGCACTTGGCTTCTTCCACAGCACGCATAATTTCTAAAGTAGCAGCATCAGGACTCATGAGGAAGGCTGGAAAAGCTCCAGCAACCCACAATGCTGTTTTATTATCAACAGCTCCCTTCCAGCACTGCAAATTTCTTTCTTGTATGCTGGAGGCTACTGTGTACACTGTTCTGTAAACATGCAAGTGAGTCTGTTCAGACTGAAGTGTCACTGGGTAATATATGCAAGCTGATCACAGAAACAGCAGCTATGGGGAACTATTAACAGCATGTGCATCTTTCACCTGGAGGATGCCGGTCCAAATGTCAACAAACTGAACCCCAAACAACAGAAAGTAACAAAGGGTGCTTCATTAATATAGATAGAAACATGGTCAGTCTCAGATCAGCAAGGATCCAAGCAGCATTACGTCTGATAGAGTCCAAGCAATTCCAGTAGAGCAGCCAGAGACTGAGAATATACAACAAACTCCTTTCCTATCCTTACCAAGGCCCTCTGGAAATTAGAGCAGGGTTGTGCTGCTGCAGGGAAAGTTTGTTATCCTATTGCATCTGTATGGTAAGTGTTTCATGTGAAGGCAGGACCAGGTCTTCTACACTACCAATTTCAAAATCATTTGCAAACAGTAAAGGCTGTAGCTGAATGCCTCAAGGTGAGAAGACTCACATGAAGATATACTTGGATGGACTCTTACCTTTCCAGAAATAAAAATAAAAAACTATCTCAACCACAGAATAAATAAAAAAGAAAGGAAGCATTTAAAAATTAAGTTCTACTCCTACCTGGGAAACAACAATTACAACTCTGCCACTTGAAAAACACACGTCATACCACTGAGACTGTAAGAGTCACCGAGGAAACTTTAACTTCAAATTCCTCATTTCCGTTCGAACAAAAGCTCAAGACATGAGGTTTTTCCAACATCTCAACATGGCATCCAAGTGCCACAGTTCAAATACAGCATTGCATCAGGGCATTTTGTCTAGTTGTACTGGCTTAGGAGTGACTTGCCTCACTTCAGCCATCCAAACATCTCTCATTTAGACCCCTATACAGCAAATAAAGAAATATGGATTGAAACAATCATCCTCTGGAGATGCCTATTTCTTTCTAGAAACACAGTCCAGATGCCTAACTTTCAGGCAGACAGATAGGTGACGGTAATTCACTGTTTATGTCCTCTTACTGCCTGCATTTTGTTTTAATGCTGACAAAATTTAATTGAAAAGTATTTCTAAAGCACTAAGAGAAAACATAGCAGTGCAGTGTTTTTAAAACAATCACTGAATTCTGGATGTACAAAGTTAATTCTGAGACTAGAACTGCTTGATCTCAGCTACTCAAGAAGTACATCAGGATTTTTATCTGGAGACATTTTGTCTGTGCTGAGTGTAAGGAACAGAGCTACTTTTCTGCTGCGGAAGTCTGAGAAAGGAAGAGTGATTTCATTCAGAGTTCAGATTGGCAGGAGCCAATAACAGTTTTATTAAATGGGAAATTGCATGGAATATTCCAGTTTGAAGTTATGCCAATTATTCTTTGTCATAAATGTCCAAATGGTACAAATAGGGATATTGCCATTAATATCTGAGGAATGCTGGCACTTCCACAGAAGGCATAGTCTGAGCCACAAAGAAGTTTTGCAAATCACCACAAACAGAGGCACAAAAGGGAACTTAGTGTGATTACTCACAGGATTCTTCAACAACTAGATATGGTTTTAGCACCAAAATAATTTGCTCCAAATTCTTAGTTACACAAAATGGGTCATGATAGGTAACCCTCAGTTTCAAACAACATTCAAGGAAAAGTCACATACAGTAATCTCATGTACTAAGTACAATTGTCAAATTATGTGTTTTACATGAAGTGCAATGAAAAGCAATTGTGAAAGGTTCTCCACAGAATTTAGATACTGTGCTGCCAGAAGGAAAAGAACATTTTATTTCAGGGTAACCAAACAGGAGTCTTGTTGGAGGATGTCTTAATTTCATCCAAAACTAAGGAGGTGCTTCAATCTGAACAAACCTCAGAGGAGTGTATCTTTAAAAGGAAACATATATATACAAATCAATATTATTTTCCATTTCTGTACAGGCTGTTAGTGTAGGAAATTGTCTTGCTAACAGAGAAAAAGTAGCCTCATCCACATTTGGCAGATAGAAACTTGGCTCTCTTACTTCTAATTCCTTCCCTCTAACCTTTCTAAGTATGCTGTCCACCTTGGTAAGAGAAAAATCCTTGTAAGGGAACTGTATTTCACTTGATTTGCTTTAATGGTCACTTAAGTGCAACTGGCAAATTGCTCAGCAATTGGCTGGTGTGCAGAGACCACAGCAGGCCTTGGGGAGTGAGATGCAAAGTCACTTCTGCAACACTTCCCTGCACTACTCTGCAAATGATACAAGGGTTAAACAGATACCATCTCTGCTTGTCTGCTGCCTCTCTTCACTGCTGCCTATCAAGTAGATTCTAATGGAATACAAATCTTACAAATATATATAATATGAGTGTATTTTGTGTGTTTTTCAATGTCTGATGAAGAAATTCAGTAATCAATTATGATTACACTGCATGATAATCACTAGTAGAGGTAACTTTGACTATACTTGTATTTATTCATTACCTGCTTTACTTGTAAAAACCTGAAGGTTCAAAGATCTAGATGCAACATCTTGGTCTTGACAGCAATCATATCCAAAATTCACAAGTCTATGAGCAAATAAAGATCACTAAATAAATCATTTAATACAAGGAGAATTGCCAGAACAAAAAGATCACAAGAGCAGTCACTAAGTAATGAAAACGTACTAATTAAATTATAATCAAATGTTCTCTAATGTAAGTTAAATTCAGCTTTAACCAGTCTGCTCAATGCTGTTAGAAATGAGGAACCCAAGTCTTCACACTGTTACCCAACAATTTTGATCACACCTGCCAACTACTCATCATACCTGATAACTCCAAGGCTTTGCAGACTAACTCCAAAGCCAACGTCTGTAAAGCTACATTTTAATCTGCAATTAGGAACACTAATTTCAGCGGAAATACTTGAAAAGGAAAGCACAAAGATCACACTCACATGGAACTTGTTATACCATGACATTTTCCGTCTCGTGCTGCCTGTGCATAAAGGGTTTTACTTATCTTTAAATCTGTAAGGCCTATTTTTGCCCTGCAGAACATGCAACAGAAGAGGTTGTTTTGTTTGGCTGAATTTTTTTCCAGAAAGGATTTTGATCCTGTAGGTATTTTCCCCCCAGGTCTTCCGCAATAATTTTGAAAAAAAAAAGTAAGATACAAGCAATGAAGCTCTTACAAGAGCTGGATTTTTTCAGCACTAACTGCAAGAGGATACACTGCCCTTTTAGGGCCACCTGCATGTGCAGCAGCACCACACTGAGCCTCGTGCACTGAGACATTGCAAGAGCCATGGTTTGGGCAGAGTGGAACTCAACTACATCCGGTTATTGATATGTGACCTAGTAGTTTTGGCCTTCCTTTTTATTCACAGAGATAAACAGGCCCTTTTGGAATGTAAATCCAACTGACTGAAGATAGATGAGGATGAGATGAATTATGACTGAGAGTCACACCACCCTGACTTGGTTTTTCCTCAGTTAAAAGGGAGCCTTAAGCAGACAAGCTCAGATGCAATCATGTGCATGGCAGACACAGACAGAATCAGACAAATCATCTTGCAAAGTGCAGGCTGCCTGGAAAGAGCACGCTGCAGGAGAACAGAGTACAGGCAGTGTCTCATAGGCTATAAAAAGGAGCTACTGGTCTGGTTAACCGCCCAATAAAACTTGCGACAGCAGTTAAAAATGGAGAGCTTCCCTTGGCACAAATGTTGACATCACCACTACAATAAGCCCAAGGTTAAACTAAATTAACTTAAATAGGTATGGCCTATTCAAAGGTTTAACCTACAGCTAGCTCTTCGGACAAATAATTTTTAAGAATGGCATTAAGAAGCAGTCAAGGATTAAATTACTTTTTACAGTGGACCCTGATGAAAATAAGAACCGGAGGTTTGGCCACAGTGTTCACGTTGTTCTTATGTTACAATACCATGTAGGCAACTGGAAACAAAGATATTATGGTTTGGACAAATTTCTCTTAGGTTTGTAAAACATTACCATATATATTAAAAGGAAAGTAAAACAAAACGTTAAAAAAACAAACAACTTACTTCAATTGTGTGTCATTTACAGAAATATCCAGGTGTGATTCCAGCTGTTAACCAAAAAATAAAACAAACCTGTTATTTAGTGTGGTTGGAATATTATGATTAGTATTTCAGATTAGTGTCACATTCACATTTCACCAGATTCAACATTTTAACAAAGTTTATTTATCCTCCTCTAATCCTTACAGTCACTCCAAAAAAACACCCATAAAATAGATTCTTTTTGAAAATGAGAAAATAAATTGAGAGATATTTAACCTCCTGCATTAGAGCAAATTTCAGCCACTGGGACAAAGGTCTAGTAACAATTACACGTTAGAATTTTTATGTTCTGTTCTCTGTATTTTGGCTGCAATTAATGTTCTTCTTTCACTTAAAACTGACAAAAAATTAACACATGGTTCCTTTGTCTAGTGCATTTGACATGTTTGCTTTTTCAGTAATTGAATATAAGATCAGTATAAGGTCATGAACGTCCCTTACTTCCTTCTAGGTTAATAACTGTAATTCCACTAAAGATACCTTACTATGGCACAATCTGATTCTGACTGAATATATTCTCGACAATAAAATAATGTAAACCCCTCCAAAAAAACAAATGGAAAAACAAACCCCGGTTTTCTTCTGAAAACATCTCAACAATAGAAGACACTGAAACAGATCTCTGTATTCGTGCCTGAAACACATAATTACATCCCACTAAAAGCCATTATATAATAAAACACTTATAACTTACTATTGCGTTAAAATGTTCATCAGGATAAAACTGGACACACCTTAAAGCACTCTTTGATTCCTGGAATTAAAAAGGATGTGTTTTTTGACTAAGGAAGCATATTGTATAGACTGAACAGTGATTGGATACTCCACACCGTTCTCCACACTCAACTTGCTCTGCTGACAGATATGCAGAACTTCGGGGACAAAATAAGAATTTAAAAACCACATATAACCCCTCACAATAGCACTATGACATGTTTCCTTCCTGTCCCAGATCATTATCTGCCAATCATCTATAATTGCGTGGGCTCTCACTTGAAGCACAGCAATACATGTCTCACACATTCTAGAAAGTTAAAAAAAAATGTTTTCCATAGTTACTTATATGGCAAAAAGAACTGTATCTTATTTTGGTCAGTTCAAAAAGGGCATCTCAGAAACAAAAGCAGGAATACATTTCTCCACCACAGTTCACTTCCTGTTACTTCCTAACACTCACTCCTTTTTGTGGCTAAGAAGAGTTTAGAAAAATCAATATTCATTTACACAGAACACATCAAATCCAAATAGTCCTTCAGACAAAACAAAAAACTCAAACCCAAAGAGTTTTAAAGTTTCTAGCCAAGAACCTGTCCTCACTTAGTAACTCACTAAGTCTGCATACAAAATATGCATACATATTTCTATATGTGAATTCTCTAGAACAGAAGCATTATATGCACAACAGCTTTGGGCAGACTTAGATACTTTTGAATAAAAGATCTTTCTAAAGCCAAAAACCTAAAAACCCCATCTTTTTTATAGAAAGCACTAAGACCACCAATCTTCTTGGAATTTACTAGGCACAACAGCAGCTAAGGTGAGCCTGACTTTTGTTTTTTGAGGCAGGAATAGGACAGACTACCCTCACAAAAACAAACTCCCACTTGTTACCCCACACACTCAAAACTTTGCTGCCTCTAGAGGGGCAGGAAAAAAACTCCAAGAATGACTTTCATTCTCACCTTTGGAACAATGTAGAAAAGCCTCTGTTCCATCATATCCCACTGTGCCCAAACGAGATCATCTGCAACTTTGGCTCTTGGAAGTTGACCTGACTTTTGAATCACCTAAAGGGAAAGAAAGAACATTAGAAGTTGTCAGATAAGGCTCTGTAACAATTATGCACAGTCTGTGCTTTAAAGAAAAAAGCAATGACAGCAGTGGTACAAATACTAAGGTGATTGGAGGGAACATGCTCCTTGTTAGTGGCACAAAGTCCACCTTTGTTGTGTGCAGGGTGCTCAGCTTAAAGAGATCGGAAGCACAGCTGTCAGGGTACACCTACTAAGAAATCTTTTCTTTCAGACTTCCTTGCTTGCAAGAAATTCACCACTTAAGCTGTTCAAAGTGAACAAAATAAAACAGACAGCACTCTTCAACATAGAGGAGGGAAATACCACAGTCAGTTCAGAATCAGCTGCATTAACTACTGAAGAACGATGTGTCAGCTCAGAAAGAGATTTCTGTCCAAGGTCTCAGCCACGTGACAGAGAGTACTGGAGGCAGGGAAAGGACTAGAGCCATGGAAAACTGTTGGGATTGTGTAAATGCACTTGATAGATGTATGGAGATTTCATGCCAACTAAAAGAAATCTGTCTGTTAGAAGAACATCAGACCAATCTGTTTCCTGATTGCACTTAGTCTTTACTCCACTACCGTGGTCTAGCATATAAAATCCATCTGCTTTATGGGTTATGATGATAAACTTAGAGAAAACCACAAAAGACAAAGTGACCGAAATCTGGTCCTTAACTTTTCCTTCCAAGCTTACATTTGTCTCCATAAATCAAAACATTGGTTTTCAGGACACAATTCTTTACTATATTACATGCATGTTTACTAATAATAAGTCTTTTAAGCAAAGCACCCACAATTTGTTGAAGACAAATTTATGTTAAAAACAGGAAAAAGAGATGAGGGGGAAAAGAGATTGGAACATTCACTGTACTTGCACTATATCTAAGTTTTACATCTTCTGTTTGCTTATTTTTTAAGCAACTCCTTTACTGGGATCATACAGATGCACAAAAGACAAAGTTAGGAAGGTGACACTGCAAATATTTAAAATGGTTTAAAAATTAATACACACCATGTTTACTCCCAACTTCTAACACTCAAAAGCATTCAGCAATAAACAAAACCCAATACAATAAGTAATTTTCCTCAGAGATTGCAGGCTATACAGGCTTGTCAATCAGCTTTATGGTTACCTGCATAAGTTGCCATATTACCAATACTCTCTCTTTGTGTTACTCAAGTATAAAGCCACAAAAACTGTTAGCTAGAATTACAGATTTTTATATTTTCAATTGAAGCAAAAAAAAACTTGAATCCCACAATTTTTCAAGTCTTACCACTTTATGTTCTTCTGCAACAACACGAATGTCAAACTGTTCGATATCTTTAAAACACAGGAAAAAATCATTACAAACATACATTCTTAAATGCTTTTATGCAGCTCATTAAACAATCTCACCTCTTGGACTTCTGTAAGAACACTGTAAGAACTCTGCCCACCTAAGTCCAGCTACTCAAGGCTGGTGTCTAGCTAAGAGAAGATGGGCCTCTCCAAAGAGATGGTAAAAGCAACCTCATTCTACAAAACTGAAAGGCAAGAGCAATAAACAGCCTTTTCCAAGTGTCCACCTTTATCCATTCCATGCCAACAGATTAGGCTGAACACGCAATATTAGCTGAATCCAATGAACTATTGTGCTATTCTTGTCCCACTTGTCACATGTTAAATCACAGTCTATCTTTCACAGTCAATTGATCTGCTCTGAATTTATATAAGCAGCTGTAAAATGACAATTTTAGCTGTTTAATAAATAAAGATAACTGATGAATGCATGAACTAAGCAACTAATTGCAGTCAAAGACGGCCATTCAGCTAAAACCAAAAAAATTTCCAGTAAATGATACAGTTCTTGGGAGACCTTTGGAATACCTAGAATAGCTCACACCCTTCTTTTTCCTGTTTTCTTCCCAATAAAAGGCTTCCAAAAATATAATCTATAATGATCACCTTGAAGTAAAAGAATGAAGACTTACTTTGAAAATATTAACTTACATTTATCTTCTGAAACTAGCAAAAGGCGACTTTCTGTAGAAGCATTTCTGTCTTCAACTGGATAAAGAAACTACACAAAGAGTTTCCCAGAAGTTAAGTAAATAACCAAAGTAGTTTAGAACACTTATCTGAAATGGGTGCATTTTAGCTGGACATTTATGTATGTTTAAATTCAGTCAGACAAACTAATGATATTTAATTAACAAAAATAACTATTATTACTATAATATAATCACTATAACTGCAAGTTTCAGGGGATTGAAGAGAAATTAAAAAGCAGTCTTCATGTCAGAGAAATATTCTGTATCAAACATTTTATGAAGTTTCATTTTTTTAATTCTATGAAGGAACACAGGGACACTATCTCTGTAACAGCTGCAAGATAAGATATTTCTGCACTCAACCATGTTTTTCCTCTAGTACAGTGGATTACAAAGGCTTATCTTTCCATTAGTTGAATAATTTACCTGCACTCGAACGCAGCTATCCACAGCCTTCAGGACTCTCACATTATTAATGGGATGAATTTCAATTAGCAGGGTTAAATACTTGGATACTGAAAAAAGGACATGTTTTAGATAACACTCTTTTATGTACACAATTTTGTTTTCTGAACAGAAATTATGTGGGACAGCAAGCAAAAGGGTATGATATTTCAAACAGTATTCAAACAACCCACTTGCAGTACCTGACTGTAACAGCTGACTTGCTGTTTCGTCCTCTGTGTATTGATGGAAGCTGACAGCTAAGGAGGGGAAAAAAAACACCAACACAATCACAGTGAGTTTGCATATTTGATATTAATCTTATTAAACATTCACGAATAGGGAGATTCACAATTTTTCTACAAAAAACATATATGCTAAAGGAACAACAGATGTTCTGCTGGGAGTTGGAGGCAGGCATAAATGCAGGAAGGAGGAAGTGAACAAAAGGTCACTTTGTCTTAGATGATAAAACAGCAATATCATTACAGCTGTGTCTTTATATTGTTACCTACATTATTTGGTGATGAATCCACTGAAGAGCATAAAGTGCTGTGGGCAACAGATAGGTCAAAATAGATTTAACTAATTCTACACCCAAATGTATAATCCTACTAAACTCATTCTTTAAAGAAAAAAATTAAAGATAAAACACATATTTACCTAATAATGTCCTTTCATTGTTGACTGAACAGCTGATTATGTGCAGATCCTTCTCAAATGTATAGAGGTGCTACAGAGAAACATGGTAGCATTAATAAATGCAATTTCTTAAACTACATAAAGGAAACCTAATCACTTCTCCTTAGGAAAACACTGCTGTCCAGTACACAGGTTTTATCTTTAAACCAAATCTTTTCATGGCCAGAAGAACCATATTTCAAGCCTCAGTTGTATCAGTTCTCCTTTTTCTCATTTGTTTGTTTCTTACACTTCTTGTGAGCTCTGTGTTGCTACTGGAGCAGCACAGCAGACTTTTATGTAAATACAAAATTTCACCCATTTCATACTGTTATGGGGACACCTGCAAAGCCCTGTTACCATGAATCTACTTACTGAATTGCAGTCTGCTCAGTTTTAGAATAAAATAATTTCTTACAAATGGTAGCATCAAACAGACTGAGAATGCACATGTAAAGAAAACTGCAAACATTTACTTCTTAGTACACATGTCCAGTGTGAAGAGGAGTAGAAAGGGCTTGAACTGGTTGTTTTGAAATAAATATTGCAGATGCGATGCTTTGCTATTCTCAAGCCTTTCAGATGTTCTATAACGTCCTGCATCTTAATACTACTGAGAATCATTTGAATACCTTCTCCGGTCTCTCTTCTGTTTCAAACAAGGACATGCTCCTTAAGGACATAACACACTGTGTTACAAGGCATCAAAATCTGAAACACTACAGCACTGTCTTCACTAGAGAGAAAACTGGTATTGTTCTCACCTCATTTTGTTTAGTTTGAAGGTCATACAATCCAATATGAGTATTTCTCTGACTTCCCTATGGATGGAAAAAAATTAGCACTGGCAATATAAATACATACGAAGTTAAACATTGCTTTTATTTTTTTTCCTACCTTCCTCTTCTCCCTGCCCCTTGACACACATCTTCACACACTTCCCTGTCCTATAAACAGACAGTTAATTATCTAATTCCAAGAAAGTAAACTCTAATTCCAAGAGAACAAAGATTTATTTTTCCTTTTAGAACTAACACATGGGATAAAGCTGAAATGTGGCCAATGCACAGCCCACAAGCCATTGCATAAGCCAAGTGCCTCTCTCTCACTTTGCTTCTAAACTGGTTTTAGTTAAAGGCAGTAGGGTCAGAAAGAGAGATGTCTGTACAAGAATCAAAAGGGATGCTATGGCCCCTGGAGATTTAAGGCTGGTATTCCAAACCTCACCAACTTGGTGTGCTATTGCTCCAAAAGGGAGCACAGAAACATCAAACATCCCCCCCCCCCCAAAAAAACCAGCTTCCAGTGATCTAGTTGCAGCCTGGAAAGAGGATTTCTCTCTGCCTTAGGAAGTGATTGTTTGAAGGCTAAACACATTTCACAAGCTTACCATAAGCCTTCTGCCTTTGAAGAGAAACATAATACACATCCTTTCTAGCTTACTGATAATAACATACAAATCTTTCCTTCTTTTAACTTTTATCATGCCTTAAATTGTCCAAATATATTGAAAAAGAAAATTCTTCTAGCAGCATATACTGTATATCAAATCAAGTTGATGTCTATTAATGTACTCTAGGTATAGGAAATAAATCATTAAACTGCTGAAATTAAATCCAGCCACAAAGGCTTGTACTCAAACAGTGAGCATCATTGTTTTTAACTACAGCTTGGGGGAAGAGGGGAGAGATCTGAGGTTATTTACAAAGTTATGGCATCTTGCCTTGTGAAGTTAAAACAAAAGCCTGAGTATTTGCTTCCCAAGGGGTCTGTTTCTGAGTGTCTCATTATTGTTGTGGCAATGACAAAAGTCTTTGACTTCTGATTTAAACAAGGAAAACAAAATGTCTTTATATTAAGACAGGGGCTCCAGGCCTCCTAATTTAAAATTAAGCAAGTGCTTTCACAAATAACCATTCTTTCCAAGTGTGTCTGAAAGGCTAACACCCTCTGTACTTAGACACTGAAAAATACACTTCACAAGACTGGTAACAGAACTACATCAATGCCCATAACCATGCATAAGCTAAGACACTTGTTTTCATGTGCCCTCTAAAGATTTTTGCATTGCCTTGCAAATAGAATTCACTTCTATTAAAAATATCTTCCTTGAGACCAACTATTGACGTCACAAAAGACAGACACGGTCAAAACCACAGTACAATGCAATGCTCTAAAATAAGCTTGAAAATAAAGCTCATTCTCCACCTTCCCCTAGTTTCACACAAAACACACTTGACTTTCTCTCACGTAGAAAGAAAGTCTACAACATCCTATCTGTATGTATTAGGAACCAAGCCAGTTTAGTTTACATCCTCCACCCCATACAACTCCTCTCAAAAAACAAGCTACAAGTGCCCAGTTCCATGAACTCCATCAACCGTTTTGACCAGACCCCTAGGAACTACAGTGGGAGCTCAGACACCCAGCATGCAGGCAGACACCTGTGTTTAGATGTGTCAACCCTGAGCTACAACTCATCCCTTGGGCCACTGCAAGAGCCTACAAGGTAGTTAGGCTGCCAGAGGCCCAAAAAAGCTTAGTGTGAGATTCCACAAATGCTACAAAGCAGAAATATCACATACAAACAGTACCAGGTCTCCTGCTGAGCCAGTAGGTTACTTGCAATATGTCTTCTAGAGTTTCGAGCAATGAAAAAGAAACACAACAATTTGATACATTCTTTAGTATTGTTTTTATGGTTACTGTTGTCTTGTACAGACTCCCCTCCCTATGCTTGTACTAAAGGAAACATCCACCCACGGTATTACACCTTGATGGCGGCCTCACCTCTTCCCTTAACCCTAGGCAAGCTGGAGAGTTTTAGCATTGTTGTGCCAGAGGGGAATGAAAGGCAGCCCTACTCTATTGGAGTCCATCTCAGATCTGCACTCTTAAAGAATCAAGATCCTCCAGGATCCAGCTGGGTCTACAGACACCTCTGAGCTGCACAGTCCCTCATCAAGGGAACAAGACAAGGTGTCACCTTCTGAAACTATTTCAAATATATCTTGGAACTAAAAGCTAAACATATGCCATGGAGAGCATAATCCTATATTAACTCTAGCTCTAGATACTTGGAGACATCAAATAAATGATGGTTACTTTAAACTACTTGCAATAAAGTGCTACAGATGAACCTTGAAGTCACAGAGAAGAAAGGTACATGCAGAATTGGTGTTAGATTAATGGTATCTTAACATATTTATATTGGTAGGAGAAAACATTTAAGTAAAACAGTGCCATTAATTTAATAGTTTAGACTTCTCTAAGAAATTCTGAGGGTGAAAAAATGTGCCACTTCTGAAGAGTTATCTGTTAAAGAAATTGCCTTTCACTCAGTGTGAGATTCTGGCCCACCAAAAATATCAAGGGCAAAACCTCTATGGACTTAATCAGGTCGATACTTTACTCTCCATTTCATCATTCTTAACCTTTATCTGAAGTGGAGACAGATATTTTCCTACTGCCCAACCCCCCAAGTTGTAATTAGTCAAGTTTTTGTTTTCTAAACCTCAATGCAAAAAAAAAAAAAAAAAAATTAAACTACAAGAACTCAATTAGATTCACATGTAGTGTTATTCTCAACCATATTTTTATAAAGTTTCAAGAGAGACTTACCTTCCAGGTATAAATAATTTTTCCATTTCTTTCAACATTTACAACATATAGTGCTGATGAATTCTCAGAAGTATCTGAAATAAGAAGTATCAAAAGGCACAGGGTTTTCATTTGGGCTGGTAATGATTTTTTACATGTAAATACTTATTTATATTTCCCTTCTGGAAACAGAGAGAGTATCTTTTACACCATGATTTAAATCTGATAAACTTCAACACAAATAGTTAAGGGATTTCAAAATATACAGGAATTAATTATTTATCTAAACCCCTAACTCTTCATTATAATTGTGATTCTAATGGCCACTACCTTTAGTTATGAAAATGGAATGTACTTTTTCAGAGAAAAACAAGCAAAATTAAAAAAATTCCAACAAACCTTGCATTTATTCACTATACATATGGGGTTCAAACACTTAAGTTGCACTCTGACACTAGAATAAACAAAGTGTCATTTGCTTCTGTCTGCCCCTTCAGCATCTCAACGGAAAACCTGGAAATAAACTACATCTTCAGAGATGAATTCTGCACTTTCCTCATGCTGCTTTTATGTTTTCTGATCACTGCAACTACAAAAACATGTTTATCTCAGATGAATTTCTTATTAAAATTGTAAATTTTGCCCTTTATAAGGTTGAAGTGCATGATTGGTTATAGTTTCATCATAAAGGTAGCATGTAGTTCAGTAGGCATCAACAAAAAGAACTGTCCACAACTCTTGGCAAGCATGGAGTCAAGTTTGACACTATTTAATTGGCAGTTATCACAAAGCCTTGACAGAGGGAAACACTTCATAAAAATCAGTTTAACAAGCCTGATACTATAAACTGGCTTGCACAGCTTTCAGTGATAAGGGGAAAAAAACCTTATTTACAAGTATGATCAGAAGGAAGTAAATTGTTTTGTCATGGGAAGACAAAAACCATTCATGTACATTTAACAATGCATCACTTTTTATTGGTTTCACATCACTCAAACTACACTACAGTACCACTACATCAGGGCTAGCTGGTGACAACTGAGTCAGTCTCAGATAACCATATAACCTGCTCTTTTTTGAGTGAAAACTTCCTGGAACTTAACCACACCTCAAACTTTCAAGATGAGCACCATGGTCTACACACTTCCCCTCATACAATCCTTCCTCAGAATAGAATTTAGGTAGAGAAGAAGGTCCATGGGAAATCTCCATGTCAGTGAATTACCCTCACCACACCAATGAATTTCCCTATCACCCGACACAGACTCCTTAAAAATGTTGAAGAAGTTCTGTGTCAGAAGAGAATTTCACGTCACTGAATGGTCAGTGGGAATATGAAGCCAAAGAAGAAGTGGCAATGGTCTCCACCCTTGGAAAATCCTGGAATATAGTTACAACTTCTTCCTCATGCCCACAGCTGAGAGCAGCAGATGAAGGGCTGCAAAAGAACAGATCCAACCTGCCTGCCCAGCAAATGGTTCTTATTGACACAATCAGGAGAATGCAGAGTTTGATTTCCTGAAGGCCATTCTATACAGCCCAAACAAAACTAAGTGAAATAGAGAACAAGGCTGCTTCACTTCACTTGCCACTCCCTTAGTATCATAGTAGCTACTCCCAGCTCTCATGCAGTTAGCAATTCTCACATGCTATCAAGGGCTTTCAAGACCTCAGGGAAAAAAAAATAATAAATATAACATCTGAAACCACTGATACAGAAGTACCATGACTCCTACAAATTATTTGCTTTCTGTGATTAGATATTTCTTTGATGTTTAAATGAACCTTTTCGTTCCTACCTCCCATCTTCACATTCCTAATACAACAGCACTGCCTGAGCAGAAGGAGTCAGTATAGACAGATAAAAGGGAAAATGCAATACAGTAAAGTTGGTGTTGGATCAGACTCACCTTCCAAACTAGATTATTCTGATTCTGTATTACCAGGGGCATGTCCTGAATGAAGACTCTGTACTGCGTTTTAAAAAGCCGAATATGGTTGCCCCTTTCCCAAACACAAGTCAGCACCATTTTGAGGTCCTTACACCATCAGTACATAGATTTATCTTTGAATTCATCACAGACCAACTGATAAATACATAGATGAATCAATCATGTGTGGAGACTTTCAGAATTTTACTTCAAACCCCTTCAGTACACCATTCAACAGTTTTTCAGTAAATTATGTAGAAAATACATAATACTTTTCAACTCATTTTGTAAATCATGACTTAGTAAATAATTTTCTTATTTACCAAGCTGATACTTTTTGGTTTGCCGCCAAACAAGATCTTATGAACCTATTTGATAACACCCCTTCAATGTGGGAAGCAAGTTAAATACTTTGAGTAAATTAAAAGCCACTAAAGGAGTTGGTTTCAAGTTCATCCCACAGTGCCCCCAGTGATATTACTACTTAAGTGATAGTTATTACAGCAGTATTATTGTATTAGAATAAGGTTTCCATCAATTTCTGAAAGGCAGAACTGGGCCAGCTGCTCTGTAGATGAATAAGAACAAACAAAAGCAAAAAGCCACGGGGCCAGGAATACAGGGAGTTCACTCTTTTTTCCAGCCACTACCCAGAGCACTCGCCACGCTGGATATCGCACGGTGCTGCGACAGCTGCCCATGCCTCTAATCTTAACCAGTACTCGTTCACCAAACAGCCCGAAGTGTTCAGGCTGTGGGGGTTTATTCCTCCCAGAAAGGGGAGTAGCGTGGGAGAAGGAACCACCCTACAACTTTCGTTTGTTTGCTTGGGGGAAAGAAGCCCAAACGTGTGAAGAAGCAGGAAAAAGAAACAAGCTGTGGAGTGCAGCGGGCGTGCTAGAAGTGTTTTCGGCATGTGAGAAGTTCCTGGAGGACACCAAACTCGCCCACCTCGAGAGCCCCGGACCCGGGGGTCACTCCCCGCCAGCCCCGGCCGAGGGGGCAGCAGCGGCCGCTCCCCGACCCTCCCGGACGGGGGTCCCGCCGCAGCCCGGCTCCTCCCGCACGGAGGCGGCCGGGAGCGCCCGGAGAGAGGGAGGGAAGCAGGGAGGGATGGGGCTCTCCTGGCCTCCGGGAGCGTTACCTAGAGCCGCGGCCCAGCCCCGCGCCGCCAGCCAGGGCACCACGTCCCTCCGCAGCTCGAACTCGGGCACCAGGCGCAGCAGCATCGCCCCGGCCCGGCCCCGCTCTGCTCCGGCCCCGCCGCCTCAGCCCGCCCCGCGGGGGGGGCTCCGCGCCCATTGGGTGTTCCGGGGGTTCCCGGCGGGTGTTCCGGGGCTCCCGTCGGCGGTTCCGGCAGGTCCCGGCCCGCTCCCGGCCCCGCCGGCCCTTCCGCTTCCTACCGAGGAGGCCGGGAGCGGGCTCGGCGCTCGGCGGAGGGCAGCCGGCCTGCAGGTGGCCCGCTGGAAGCGAAGGCTCTCGTTTTCCTGGCTCCTAGGCTCCTCCCCGGGCGCGCTGGAAGAATCACAGAATCAGAGAATATTCTGCCCACAAGGATCATCCAGCCCAACTCTTAGTCCGGCACAGGATATCACCAATAATCACACCATGTGCCTGAGAGCATTGTCCAAACGCTTCTTGAGCTCAGGCTTGGTGCTCTGACCACTTCTCTGCAGAGCGTGTTCCAGTGCTCAGCCACCCTCTGGGTGAAGAACCTTTTCCTGATATCCAGCCTAAACCCCCTCTGACACAGCTGCAGACCATTACCAAGGGTCCTGTCACTGGTCAGAGAACTCGGAGCGATCCTTTTAAAAGAAAGCCTCAACACGGTGTGACTGTGAGTGCCTCAGGCAGCAGCCTGTGAGTGAGGTCCGCTGTCAGGCTTCAATCATCTGGTGTCCACTGACCAGGAAACACCAGTGACTTGTTGCCCTCCTTACAATCCCCCAGGAAGGGTTAGAGTGTTTTCCAGGACATCCCTGATTCCTTAGCTTGTGCACTCTGAAATTGCTTGTTCAATAGATCAGGTGTCTCTCTTTAAACGGATGGCAGAGCTCAGGATGTCCTCTCAGACTAGGCCTGGCCTGATCCTGCTTTCCATCTGCAAAGGAGGTAAAGCTTTATATATTCTTGGTGTCTTTGTGGTTTGTTTGCTTGGGGTTATTTTAGCTGTTGAAAATATTTGCAGCACTGATAAGGTGCTACTCCGTGGCTATCTACAGCCTGCTTGTAATTTCCATTTCCCTTCTGACATGTGCTGGGTGATGTCAGCCAGCTAAAGGTGGCATAAAAGTGGAGAGGCTATAAGGGCACACACCAAGCTTGGCATACCCAAGTACAGAACAGCTTCACCCTGTTCTAAGAGGTGATCCAGTACCAAGTTTCCTGCCTTCATTGATAAGCTTTGGAGCTGTATAAAGACCAGATGAGAAGCAAGTACATCTGCAAAGTATGGGTGAAAGGCAGTTTGATAATCAAAAGGCAAAGCAGACATAAGCTTCCTCTCTATCTCTGTATTGCCAACTTTTACAGTTGTATCACAAGTTTCATAATCAGCATTCTTCTTAAAGCTCCTTGGATCAAGTGGTTGTGCAAGAATTTCAGCTTATATTTTCACTGTTGTGAAATAAAGCTTGAAAATGTGACTGGAATGTTTATTTCAGAGACAAAAAGAGAAAGCAGACAAAAGATCCCAAGTGGATGCATTTTTTAAGAGATGAAATGGGGCTATTCATGAGTCTGAGTATTTGGAATGGCACAACTGGAGGGGCAAGCAATGGAGTGAAACAAACCCAATGAAATGACTGACTCTGTAAGTATGTGCAAAAAGGGAGGAAGTCTCCTGTACCCAGAACTAGATGTATTTAAGGCCAGATGAGGTCAACTGACAGAATTTTTGCTTCTGCTATAAAGCAAAAGAAAGAAATATGGAAATGGGTTACAAAGAGTGCCTATAAAAGGAAAAGAAAGAAACTTAGATATGGCTGTCTAGTGTAATGGGTTTGCATAAAAGAAACTCCAACAACAAAACACAAAACCAAAAAACCAACACCCAACTGTCCCTGTTCTTTTGTTTCAGTATCAACCATGCCACTTGTTACAGTTCTTGAAAGAGAACCCACTTAACTGATGGATGAATTATTCTTTAGTATTTACAGACTGAGGCATATGACAATGCTGTTCTCCTAGAGTATCTTACACAGGGTGTGAAAGGCTTTTGGGACAGTAGGAGCTGTACATAGTTAACAAGTAGTCTGCTTGTGCCCTGTGCATAGGATCCATCCTACAGTTACTATTTGGAAAAGAACTGGAAGGATTTGTACAAGTTGCTGGAAGAGTTTGTACTAGTAAAGACCTCACAGTCAGGTGTGCACTAGGAAAAACCTTTCTTGTTGAGGAAGTAGGCAAAATTTCCCCTCAGAATGTGGTTTCACTGCAAAGGACTCGTCACTGTGTTTGTAAGCCAAATTTGTTTGCATTATTTCACTGACGTTTCTCAAGACTCCTGGCATAGAGTGGGACCTCACCTCCAGTGCACCATACTGGGAACTTGGAAGCTTCTCTGGTGTTAGTCCCTGAAACTGAGGCAAGAGAAACTCTCTCAGAAGTTTCTCTATCTTTTGTGTAAAAAGAAGGAAGTGGCAGCTTGACAGATGAATAGATTTGAGAAACAGAAAGGGATGAGGTGATTCATGGTGACTTTCAGGGTTTAGAGATACAGAAATATGACAGAAGCAACCATGTAGAGCTGGGAAATACCACCATACCAACAGGAGCTGAAGGAATTGATAGGAGCAAGGAGCCAGAATAGAAGGGAGTGAGGAAGAGGGAGTCTGGAGAGACAAGACAAAGCTTTGTAACCAACATAGAACTGAAGCCAATATTCCAAAATTGCAGTAAGGATTCCTAAAATTTCAGTAAGGATTCCTAATTTTCTCTCAATTGTTTTCATTTAAGTGTAAAGGTTTACTTGTGATTCTTAAAGGTCCAAAACACAATTATATATAAAATGACAACAAACCCACTTTTGATTTAGATAACAGTCTCATTTGTTGTATCTTCTTTCATTTTTAAAGTATAATCCATGCTATGAACAAAATAAAAGGGGAGTCTTAAGGAAAATGGACTGTATACTGCCAGATGAATGATATTTCAAGGAGAACTAAATAAGCTTGTGTAAACAATGCTTTTGTGGCAATTTCTTATTTTTGAATGCTTAATTTACACTCATGATATACATTAGGAATACACATATCTGCATTCAGTTGCCAAAAATATATTTAAGAGAAAAGAGATGGTTTGCTCGCCTCTTTGTGTGTTTACATAGTGCAGAGGCAATGCTTCCAATCAAATAAATGAGGTTCACAGTAAATGGAGTTTTTTTAATAGATTAATTTTAGCAGTCGTATTTCTTAAATTATCACAGGAAACATCATAAAATGCTGACAATTGATGTCAGCGTTAACCTTCACTTCCAAATGAAACTCAGAGTGCCTCCTTTCCAAAATGTACAAAATAGCCCATCTCTGAAGGAAAACAATCTCAGATTTGGGTCTGTACAGTCCCACGTTTAAGGAATACGCAAACGGTCTCACATAAGAATTTGCAGTGCCGTGAAGAAAACTTAATCCACTGCTGTTCTTTCTTTTCAAGATACCACTGTCAAAGTCTTTGATACAGCCACTGTCAGCTGAGTAGCACCAAAGACTTAGAAGTGAGATGGGGTTTCTCCTTTCTCTTCTCTCTATTGTTATCTGTTGTTTTTATTTTATCACTTCTGTCTTTAATATCTAATTCCTTCACAACTGTAAAAACTAACTCGCAGGTTTAGAGCTCGTTATGTAAATCTGCCTATTCCTTGAGCCATCGATCTGGCTGTGCACGTCAGAGGCAGTATCTACAGGCCCAGAGATCCAGCTTGAATTCCTAGAAGCACAACTCATTCCTCAGAAACCACAAGGCTGACTCATTCAGAGTACTCCAAGTCATAACTCAGTACAGTGTATCAGGCCACCTCAAACCTCATACTTAAAATTAAAAAGTTGATGCAAAAGCCATAAGCATCTGAAAAGCCCCTTACGCTTCCTTCAGCAGGCTTTGCATTAAGACAAAGAGCCTGATGTGTTTTTGATAACGTCTCCCAACTTTGCTAGACAGAAAAAGCAGCTCTCAATTAAAAAAAAAAAAACAAACCCAAGTTCTTATCTCTACTGATTGAAGTTAATGTTATAACCCATTTGTCACTGTTGCTTGCACCATGAAACCAAATTGTGAATTTTGCTCTCTATTTACGCTGAGTTTTCCTTTCTGATTATCTGACTCAATTGGTTTTGATTTTTCAGACCCAGGTTTAAACTGTGTATAGGCACAGAAGCTGATCTTGATGGAGCAACTTTCAGGAAAGGAATGTGAAATTAAAGCTATCATTAAAAAAAAAAGACAAATTTTTTTTTTTTTTTTTAATCAGAAAACTGTTCCTGCTTTAGTAATGGGAGGATCTCCCTCAAATTTTTAGCTGGAGTGTGTCTTGACTGTAGCCAGGCAAATCATTAGAGAGCAGTAGTGGCCCTACTGATTGCATTGTAACCAGCATGTTTTTTACCACTAACAACAATTTTTGTGCTAATTTCCTGTGTGCCTGTCATCCCTTTTCACACAGTTCATTTGGTGAGAATTACAGAATTATACCATGACACAAGTGTGGGGCTGATGAGGCACTGCCCCATTGATGGGCATTGATGGGTGTAACGCACCTTTCAGCTCTCCCAACAGAACAAAGCTTTGTTCATGGCAAAAAACATGCAGAGCCATAAACCATCGATGTGTTCTGCATCAGGAAATTATACTGCAGACTTCTTATGAAGAATGAATATTTCAAATAATTACTTAAGCACATGACAGCCAGGCAAACAGTTCATGACTTTTTTGGGAAGTCCTGCTTACTGGGAGCAACATCTTTTCCCGCCATCCCAGTAATAGAGGGTTTATTGTCATCATGTCTAGACAGTTGTTTTCTCGAAGAATGTTTTCATCCAGTCAAACACTAAATGTATACATAAATTCTCTTCCTCAAGGAGGTGGTTAGCATGTTTACTAAACCCTCTTGGCTACACAAAACAAAATAAGATGCAATGTGAAATCAATATTTTGGTTTAGTGGGCAATTCAAGGTTGGTAGAATAAAATACCTTTATTTCAGTGTGTGAGAATAACTTTCTTCAGTCTCTTTAATCACAGAATATCAACATAAATGGAAGCAATTTCAATGAAGTCTGTCAGCATCTGTTGTGGAATCCAGCGCTTCATGGAGATGCCTTTGTATGCTTTGTTTAATAATTAATCATAGGAAATAATCTTTTAGCTACTAAAGAAAAAAATCATCTTGCTATTCATGCTCATATTCAACAGCACCTTCTTCTTTTAAATATCTTCACTGAAGTCAATAACATGCTCAAGCCAGTAACATAAGTCAATGAGGCTTCTGAAACAATTAAGGTATTCCTCCAAGTGAGGGAGGGGAAGAGAATGGGACTTAGCAAAGTCTCTGACTGTCATCCAAGTGGCCTTTTTGTTTCCACTGCTTCTCCCTC